GGGAACACTTGTCCATGCTGGCAAAGACACTGCAGGGTACTTCTTCAAAGTGATCCAGCCTCTCCCTCAATCCATGGGACACAGATCTGAGAGCTCACACCCGAAAACCAGACGACGAACAGCGATTTTCCCACTGCGGCAGCTGACACATCAGCCTTCTGCCTGCCGGCTCCTGAGTGTTTTCTGGGCACACAAGTCGAGCGGTACCCTAGGCGGCTGCCCAGCTCTACTGCCCCTGGGAACACCATGCTCTATTAGCACCACAGAGAGTCAAGACATGCCGGCTGAAGGCTGGGCCTTGCCGCCCGCACAGGTACTGTCTACCTGCCTCAAAATCCCATCGTCCTCACAGACACCTAGGAACCTTATGTCACATCTCGTAAGCCATTCCCAGCTTACAGAGGACAGCCAACACTGAGCTTCTCAAAGGCACTGAGAAGGGCCCTGGTCCCTCACCAGGCATCCCATTTCACCAAAGAGAAGGGAGGGCACCCTCCTGGGGACATGCGCAGATGCTGCACCTCTGGCCTCGAGAAATAAATCGAACTCAAGGCCCCACCTCCCTGACCCTTCTCCCTTCCTTAACTCTCTGCCAAGTCAGCTCTGACCCGTCCACCTCACTTACTGGAGGCCGGGGTCCTCAACCTCAGCGCTACGGGCAGTGGCGGCCACACAATTCTTTTTTGTGGGGAGATGTTCTGCACAACATGGAAGGTTTAACAGCATCCTTGGTCTCTGCTCAACAGAAGCCAGAAGCAACCCCTAGCTGTGACAACTGAAAATATATCCAGACATTGCCAAAGACCCCCGCGGAGGCAAAATCTCGCCCAGCTGAGAGCCAACGGCATCAGCCATGGCTGTGGCCAAGTTCAGGGAGCCCGCCCAGCAGCAGAGGACAACGCGCTCTAGCTGTCCTTGCCGGGTCACTAAATCCTGAAGCATCAGAGAATGTTCCCAAGGCCGCGACTCTCTCCCAGCCAGCTTTATAGTCCGCCACTGCCCACTGGGTCTAACATCCTCAAGATTCACTCCCACGTGCGTCTCCCCAGTTCCTGCTGGGTCACACAAGCCAGTCCTGCAACTCGTCCAGCACAAAAGCTATTTCCCCGGCAGACGGGACTGGACTTCCCCACTTGGGCGATGCCGAGATCTGAAGGAAGGGGCAAGATCTCGAGAAGGGTAAGCAGCATCTTGCAAGGCATCCGCCTCAGGCGAGGTCTGTGCACAGCATCCAGGCAGGGGGAGGTGGATGCTTCTGCGGGCCCAGAGGATCTAAGGAAACCTGTGAGTTCAGAGTTCCCAGTGTTTCCACCCGAATGTCTGCATCCCCAGGCCCAGGGTCCCACTTCTTCCCTATCACAACCTGCCAATGCTGTGCACCCCGCTTCCTCTGCAGTGCTGCCGCAACTAAGATCACATGCTGGGCCTGCTTTTCGACTCAGCCAGCCCTCCAGCTGCAGGAGACACTGCCACCGGGCCCTCTGTCTCGCAGTGTGGGCATGTGGCTGATCTGACCCGATGAGACCTCAAGGCCTCAGAGGGGGAAAACAAGAGCAGCCAGCTCTCCCATCCTGATCACTGCCCCTGTCCACACACGGCTCCAGAGCAGCCAGCTCCCCCATCCTGACCACCGCCCCTGTCCACACACCGCTCAAGAGCAGCCAGCTCCCCCATCCTGACCACCGCCCTCGTCCACACACTGTGCCAGAGCAGCCAGCTCCCCCATCCTGACCACCGCCCTCGTCCACACACCGCTCCAGAGCAGCCAGCTCCCCCATCCTGACCACCGCCCTCGTCCACACACTGCTCAAGAGCAGCCAGCTCCCCCATCCTGACCACCGCCCTCGTCCACACACTGCTCAAGAGCAGCCAGCTCTCCCATCCTGATCACTGCCCCCATCCACATACTGCTCAAGTGCCAGAGCCAGCGCCGTCCCTTCCACCTGAATCTCACCCCACCCACCGCTGGCGGGGGTCCCACGACGGGAGGTGAGGGCACCAGGGGCCATTGACACCTCACTGCCCGCCAGTAAGGGGGACCTTGCTGCCGTCTGAGGGCAAGCGGTCCCAGTGTCAGAAGGCAGTGCTCAGGGCCTGCTTTCTAGACCCACTTCTATCCCAACTGTCTCAGTTTACGTTCCGCCAAACTAAGAAAAAGTGACATGGGTGCAAGCGGCTGGCGGACTCTGAAAAACGCACCTCAGGACAGTCCCCCTGAAGGACAGGAAGCTCTGGCTCCCATCCACCAGGGCCCGTCCCCTGGATGAGGGGGGCAGATGAGGGCTACGCCTAGAGACATAAACCCCCATTTCTAAGGTTGCTGACACAGGCTAAACGAGCTCCGGGGAGTTTGTGCCAAACAGCTGGGAGATACGGCGAGCGTCTGAGAATAAAAACTCAGTAGAAGAGACGAGGGCAAAAGCCTTCAAGAAAAAAGGAAAGGATGAGAAACGAAAACAGCCCCCTACGAAGTGCTCTCGAGACAGACCTGCTCTGTGAGCGTCCCCAGACCTTCCACACTCCATCACAGCGCTGGCCACACCATATTAACCAGGTAAGTAACTGCGAGTCTGTCTCCTCTTCTGGTTGCAACTTTTGTAGTCAAGAGTTTTTCATCTCTGCTCCCTATTCCCAGCACCTAATCCCATGTCTAGGACACATTTCACATCAACATAGTGTGCCTATCCCTCCCAGTTCCATCAGTGCACACGCTGTCCAGGGCCCATGTTTGCAGTTCTTATATGATGATGAACTCTGAGTATTTTTGTTCTTGAATTTAGAGTTTCCAAAGGGGAAAAAAAATATCACTAGGTACTTCCATAGACTGAATTTTCTGGCCCCACCCCTGAATACCCTCCTCCCTCTACACGGAGCTTCCCTCAAGAGGACAGACCAAAAGAAAGCTCCTTCTTTTTTTTTTTTAAGGATTGGCACCTGGGCTAACAACTGTTGCCAATCTTTTTTTTTTTCCTGCTTTATCTCCCCAAACCCCCCCTCTACACAGTTGTATATCTTAGTTGCCGTTCCTTCTAGTTGAGGGATGTGGGATGCCGCCTCAATGTGGCCTGATGAGCGGTGCTATGTCCGCGCCCAGGATCCGAACCCTGGGCCGCCGCAGCGGAGCGCGCAAACTTAACCACTTGGCCCCAGAGCCGGCCCCAAGAAAGCTCCTTCTAATGAATGTTTATTCCACGTAACAACATCACCTGGATCCAACAAGACGTCACAGCAGAGCCCCACAACCTTTATCCTCCTGGAAACACATCGAACGTGCCCCTGCGACACAGCGCAAGCCTCTGGCTAGCTGTCAAGCACTGAGTCACCGGAAAAATCTGTTAACCCCACTCTGCTGTCAGGATGAGACGCATTTTCTGTTCCTGGAATTATTTATTCTTAAAATTTGCCTGAATGAATAAAGCACCTTTCCTTGCTGCTTCAGGCTGTACCCAACCCACTTAGTCCAACGTTCTGAGTCGCAATCTCGTCTTTTTAAGCTTTTTAGAGAAGCCCTCACAGCTGAACTCCCAGGGCCACTACTACGTTGGAATTTAACCCAACTGTGCCTGAAAACAAAGGAACTAAATATTAGCAAAAGCAGGAAAATCTGTGATTCACTGCCTTATCTGATAGCGTTTTTATAATTAAAGTCATGTTATGACTAACCGCCCCCAAAAATGGTTTCCAATAAAAAAAATACTGTGCCCTTCGGGATCAGCCCAGTGGCACAGTGGTTAAGTCTGACCGGCTCTTCTTCGGTAGCCCTGGTTCCAGAGTTCAGATCCCGGGCATGGACCTATACCACTCGTCAAGCCATGCTGTGGTGGCATCCCACACACAAAACAGAGGAAGACTGGCAACAGATGTTAGCTCAGAGTGAACCTTCCTCACCAAAAAAAAAAAAAAAATACCGTGCCCTTTGATTGTGGGAATTATACTATACATTATAGAATGCACATAATTAAATAACTAGCAACTAAACGTTACTGAGGACTGACTACATGCCAGGATCTGTTTCAAGAACTCTGTGTTAACTTAGTTAATCTTCCCATCAGTGCCATGTGACAAGGTAATTATTACCCTCCTTTTACAGACCGGGAAAGTGCAACAGCAAGGCTAAGTCACTTGCCCAATGTCACACACCTAGAAAATGCCAAAGCTAGGATTCGGAGGATGGCAGCTGCTCTGGAGCAGCACAACCTGACAAACCCAAATCTGTCCATTCACACCCGCCTCCAGGACCAACAGGCTTCACCAGCGGAAGTGAGAAGGACGGAAACGGAATCACCTGCTTTATGACCGTGACTAGCCTTTGAACTCTGAAACTGACAAACCCAGCCTAGGTGAAGTCGCGAGAGCACTCACCTGACATAGAAGGTGAAAACGGACATATTTCTATTTCAAGACATCTTCAGACCAACAAGGACCCTTCTAGATTAGCACTTTCCGGCAAATTATTCGAGTCTGAAAACTGCATAGACAGATCCGGTTCCCACGGCCAGGAGGAAAACTCGAAATGCCTCTGAGCTTCAAGCAGATGCCCAGAGCCACCTCCCCCCCGGCCCCCAGCTGGAGCACAGAGTCCCACCTCTGCCCACGGCATCCAGCACTGCCTGGGACGCCACAGGCCGCGGCGGAGCCCAGAGCGCAAGGAGTCCCCGGGGGAGGAACACAGCCCTGTCGCCCGAGGGAAGGAGGTGGCAGCGGGGAGGGAGGGGTCCCGGGGGAGGGTGGCGCCGCGGGGGAAGGAAGCAGCAGGGTCCGGGGAGAAATGGCAGGGGCGCACGAGTGGACAGGAGTGCTCCAGGGAGACAGGTGGGAAGCAAAGCGGGGCTGACCAGGGGAAGAGGCGGTGGGCGATCCAAGCGCCCCCGCAGCGGGAATCACGTGCGCGGCCCGGGGGGTGGGGATGGGGTCGCCCCGCGCGGCCCGCGCTGCCCCCGCCGCCCGGGAGGCCCGAGCCCGCCCCTCGGCGCCCGCCGGCCGTCCCGCGCCGCGCTCACCTCGGCCACGGCTGCCTCCCGCTCGGCCCGGCGCTCGGTCACCGGCTCATGCCGCGGGGCGCGGGCCACCGCCGCCGGGGGGGCTGCGTCTGCGCCGGCGACCGGGCTCGGCGGCTGACACCGAGCGCACTGCGCATGCGGGAGCGGCCCGGGCCCGCGCCCCCTGGCGGACAGGAGGAGTCAGGGCACCGCTTAGGGCCTCCCGGGCCGGCGCGCGACTCCCGGGCTCCACGGCGACAGTCCCGCAAAGACGGGCAGCCTCGTTCATCATGGAAGACACCGCCCACGGAAACAACGAGACAGCGTGCTTCACTTATAAAACTGTTAGGAAACGGACACAAATCTAAACGTTTTATTGTAATCGGTACGGATGAGCGCGCAACCTTCCTGGAGCGCGATTTGGCAGTCTCCATGAAACGTAAAATGCCATAACAATCCCTCTGCATGGAGATAACCCTATGAATATTCTCAACGATGTTCATCAAAAATATTCATTACAGTAGTGTTTCTAAGAATAGCAAAAAACTGGAAACGAGCAAAATAGATTATGGAACATGCTTAGAATGGAATAATGTGAGAATGCATATATATGTTGGTATGGAAATAGGAAAGCAGGGTCCAAAACAGCTTTATGTAAATATATGTATACACAAAAACAGGGGAGAGAAAATGTATATCTAGATGCTTATCTTCGGGCATACGGCCTATGTGCAAGATTTTTTTCTAGGAGGAATCCAAGAAGCAATTAGCAGTTCGGGGTAGAGAAATTGCACAGGCAGAAATGGGGGAGAGAGATTTTCCTTTTCATTTTGTTTCTGTATTGTTTACATGATCTAGCTTTCTACATGTGCAGTAAAATCCCTGTCATCAGGCAGGAAGTGAAGTCTAAAAGATTCAATCAAAATTCAGAGTGATGTTACTGAGAGGTTCACGAAATGACCCTATTCATTTCAGCAACTGGTACTGGCTGTGAAAACCATTTCCTTCTGGTCCCGGCTATGCCTTAGCACCATCTGGTGGGAGTTGTCACTTCCGGCTTAAATATTCATGGAGATGACTGAGTCTGGAGACGCCCTGGGGCTTCCAGCAGCAACCGTGGTTCCAGGAATATTTGTGAGTTAATGCCTGCTTGTCACAGATCCAAGGAGACTGGGACGAGAGTATTCCAGAGATGGGGAACCCACATTCTGCTTCACCACATCCAAGGGAGCATTGTCTGCCCTCCCATCCATATTCCTCCCAAAATGATAGGAAATTCAGCACACATGCCCCATCTGAGAGCCGCATAGGTGGAGGGCATTCTGTTTTCTTTGTTGTCTTTCTCTGTATTAAATATATGTATATGTCTTTAGTTAATCACTCGTTCTTTGGTTAAATGAAGACTGTCTGTGTTTAAGACCTGTTATGCACAGCCTCTGAGGAAACCGCCTGCCTGTCTCGTTCACTTTATAACCCTAGGCATGCATGGTGCACACAGTAACTGCTCAGGTAGTATTTTTTGAATGAATAAAGGGTGCCCAGATGCTGGAAGGAGCTCAATAAAAAGAAGAAAAATGCACAAGTAAGATTAGCCAAAGCAGAAGAAAAATGTCATCGGAGAATATTAAAATGCTCCAGGGGCCAAAAGGGAAAGCCATTGCATCCAGTTGGAAAGGTATGGGAAGTCTTCATACGAGAGTGGATATCTTTGCAGGTCCTGGAGGATATTTAGGACAGCGACAAGTCGAGAGGCGACTAGGGCATTCCAGGGAGAGCAAAAAAGCATGAACCAAGGCACAGGTGTGATAAAGAAGGAGAGGTGGTTAGAAGGAGCAAGTGTTTTTCATCCAGTGTGGCTAAAACGGTGCGACTACATTTCTAGGGGTAGAAACCATGCAAATAACTCGAGAGGAAATAGTATGGAGACTGTGATAGCAGACGCTGCACGCTGCCCAGGGAGCTGAGGGTGACTGCCGAGAAGATTGAAAAAGGAAACCAGGAGACAGGACCTGAAGGCTCCGAGAAGGCGAAAAGTGGCCTAGCAGTCGGTGGTAAGAGGAGAGGCTGTAGAATGATGTCACATTCCTCACTTTGAAGGTACAGGACAAAGCAAAGACCGCACACCTACCCGCTCACCCAGCCAGTCGCGGAAAGTGGAAGTGGGAGTTAGAAAGGGCGTGGCTTTCAAGGAAAGCGGCAACATCAGGGGAAAGCGGGTCTATGGTTACGAGGAATTGCTAGTGCGGACTTGAATCCCACATTTACCACTTCCTCTAAATGATAGCAGCTTGTAAGAACGGAGAAAGGTGCCATCCGCTCACCGTAGCCTCACGTTCCGCATCCGCGGATGATGTACTATGTTTAGGATCCGCGGTTGGCTGAATCCACAAATGCGGAACCCGCGAATACCCAGGGCAGAAGCAGGGGATTTGAGCGTCCGCGGATTATGGTATCCTCGGGGTTCCTGGAAACAATCCCCTGCGGAGTTTGAGGGACGAGTGTATATTCTCCAAGGAAAAAGACTCTATGAAAGAACTGTGCTGTGTATTTCCTGTTGACAGCTTGAACAACACCGGCGGGCAGCCTGGCAGACTGGAAACGCCCATCAATACGAGATCCAGTATAATGGACGCTCTTTCAAATGGATGGCCGAGCTCACCGAAAAAAGGAAAGAAAATATACTGGGGCCGAAATGAAGCTGAAGTGAGAAATCTGAGCGTCGAAGCTACAACCCGGGCATACGAGGTGGGGAGTTGATACGGAGAAACCCACAGTAAAGCTAGGATATTGAAATGGAAGACTGGGAAACTTCGCTCGACATCAGTAACAATAAACAACAAAAAAACTCGTCTGTCTTGTCCAGAGAGTGGAAGAAGAAGAGACTCATCAAGCTTCACAACGATGTGGGATTTGAATATATGTACCACCAGGATGGCCCAGGAAGCTCCAAGACTAGAGAGAGTAACGTGATGAGTTACCAGCCCAGGTTGTAGCACCCCAACGCCCTGGGAGAAGGAAACATAAATTCCCCTCTGGAGGGTCATGCCCTCAGCACAAGCTGCCCAGGACTGCACAGATAGAACCCTGACAAACGTAGGCTCATGATCCAGAAGTACAAAGCACACGAAAAATAAACCAGTCGGCAGAAACTACAAACAGCAGAAATTTAACCCCCAAGAACTACAGATGATTGGTTCATGAGAAGTAAATATAAAATAAGTAAGTTTATGGTGATCGAAGACTTAAAAGATGCAACTGTCAGCATTAGAAAGAAACAAGATATGTTTTCAAAAGACAGAGGAGATTGAAAAAGTACTAAATATAAAACTTAAAATTAAAAACGCAATGCATAAGTTAAATAATAGATTAGCCACAATTCATAAACTGGGGTGTCGATCTAAATAAATTACCCAGAATGCAGATTAAAGAGGAAACAAAGAGATGGACTATAGGACTGGGAAGTTAAGAGAGAGGATGCAGGAAGAAAGCTCAGGCTACATCCAGAAGGCGGGAATGGAGAGAATGACGTTGAAGCAGCTTCCGAGGAAAGAGTAGCTAAGAATTTGTTGGGCAGAGATGATCACCTGTAATAAATGGGTAATAAGACTAGCAGCAGACTTCTAAACAACAACAACAAAATAGAAGTCACAAGAGAATGGTCAATGTGCCAGGAGAAGCTAGCAGTCAGTGTACAGTTGCATACCTAGTGAAACCATCTTTCAAGAATAAGAAAGACAGACATTTTCAGATCAACACAAATAGAAAGAATTTACCATCAACAAACCCTTCCCAACAGAATTTCTTAAAGATGCATTTCAAGAAATAGAATATTAAAACCAGAAGAAAGTACTGAGATCGAGTAGGGATGGCAAACGATGAAACTGATAAACTCCCGGCTAAATCAGAACAAATACCGACTTGCATGAAACTATAAAAATAAAAATAACAAATTTGGAGATTAAAAACTAGGCCTTCACTCCCCATGTTCATTGCAGCATTATTTACAATAGCTAAGATATGGAAACAACCTAAGTGTCCATTGATGGATGAATGGTATATACCACAATTTCATATATATGTACGTACACACACACACATGCGCGCATACACACATGCATACACACAATGGAATATTATTCAGCCATAAAAAAAATGAAATCTTGCCATTTGCGACAACATGGATGGACCTTGGGGGCATTATGCTAAGTGAAATAAGTCAGACAGGGAAAAACAAATACCGTATGATCTCACTTATATGTGGGATCTAAAACAAACCGAAAACAAGCTTATAGATAGAACAGATTGGTGGTTGCTGGGGGGTGAGGGGAGAAATAGATGAAAGGGGTCAAACGTAAAAAGAAAAACTGTTGAAAGAATTTTGCAGTGAATACCCATATATCTGGCCATCTTTATTATGCAATTAATATTTTACAGTACTTATCACGTATCGATCTATCCATTTGTTGATCCATCATTTTTTGCTGCATTTCAAGTAAGTTGCAGATATCAGTAGTCACATCTGAATATTTTATTGAATGCATATCATTAACTAGAGACCAATATCTTGCAGTTCCATGTTTCTTATGAGATAAAAGTTGTGCACAATAAGGTGCACACATTTTGTATTTTTTCTTTACAGCAGGGAATAACGACGGTTTTGGCAGGTGATGGGGCAAAAGTCGTGGCAGAAGAAAGGAGCAAAAAATAATGATTTTTCCTTTATACAAAAGCATAGTTCACATATATTCATATAAGCACCTAAAAAAAGAGAAATGAACAAGGTAGAAAGCAAATATACAATAGAAAGAATTAACAAAAGTAATAGTTCATTGTAAAAAACTAATAAAAGTAGTAAAATTGATAAACACCGTTACCAGACTGACTGTTCATGACAGAAAGAAAAGTACAGAGAGCGAAGTTACCAATATCGGGAATGAAAAAGGGGATATTACTACGCGGAAGAAAAAAGAAAGAAAAAGAACGTACCACTGGTATATGCAACAATGGAAATGAATCTCAAAACATTAAGTTGAGCTATAGAACCCAAACCCAAAAGTGAATAACTGTATGACTCCTGATTGGGAAATTTTATGCATGGAGCTAGAAATCAGGGTAGTGGTTGCCCATAGGGGATTGGGGCCGACTCAGGAGTGTGAAGGAACTTTCTGGGGTAATGCAAGTGTTCTACACCTTGAGGGGAATATTGGTTACACAGATGTCTGTATTCATCAAAGCCATTGAATCCTACGATTAAGATCTGTGCCGTTCGTTGTATGTAAACTTTACCTCCATTTTTAAAAATTAATAGAAATCAGTGTTTTAGCAGAAGATCCAAAGACGTCTGAGGCCAGCACTAGACCTTGATGGTATTTGTGACTCTCCTAGGGATTTACCCTAAATAGAATTTTTTATATTTTTTTTACATTCATATGGTTTAAAAAACAAAAAGCATTTAAAAAAACGAACCTAGGAAAACAAAAAATTAGAAAGAAACAGTAAAAATCCTCACTCTTGTCCTCGCTTCCCCTCCTCCCAGTTGCCCTACCCTGTAGGCAACTGCTATGCTCCATTTCTTATGAATTCCTCAGACTCTTGAGGCAGAAACTAATGCCCTAAATTTCCACTTACAGTGATGGAGTCCAGGAAAACATGGTATTAAACATTAAATATGCTTTCGATAGTCTCATTAGAACTGTTATTAGAAAAGTTAACATTAGAACTGGGGGTTCTGGGGCCGGCCCGGTGGCGCAGTGGTTAAATTCACATGTTCCACTTCTCAGCGGCCCAGGGTTCACCGGTTCAGATCCTGGGTGTGGACATGGCACCGCTTGGCACACCATGCTGTGGTAGGCGTCCCACATATAAAGTAGAGGAAGATGGGCATCGATGTTAGCTCAGGGCCAGGCTTCCTCAGCAGAAAGAGGAGAACTGGCAGTAGTTAGCTCAGGGCTAATCTTCCTCAAAAAAAAAAAGAACTGGGGCTTCTTTTTTTTTTTCCACCCAAAGCCCCAGTACATAGTTGTATATTCTAGTTGTAAGTCCTTCCAGTTCTTCTCTGTGGGACACCGCCACAGCATGGCTTGATGAGAGGTGTATAGGTCCGTGCCCAGGATCCAAACTGGCAAACCCCGGGCCGCTGAAGCAGACTATGCGAACTTAACTGCTGCACCACTGGGCTGGCCCCACAACTGGAGGTTCTATTTGACCGGGAGGTCTTCACCCAAACTGGGGTTGTCCTGACTTCTCAAAGCACAATTTCTGGAGGAAGGAAAAAAAAAGAAAAACTAGCCATTAACTAAAATACTAGTCGACAATATCACCTGAGATGAAGATAAAGAAAGGAGTGAGAGTTAAACGTTCTAAGGGCTTTTCCATTTTCAGGAAGAGGATAAAGAAAACGATAAAAGTATGAATGTTAATAATTTAAGAGTATCTGGCAAAGTACTCATTTCCAGAATATATAATGAATTCTTGGGGCCGGCCCCATGGCTGAGTGGTTGAATTCGCGCACTCTACTTCGGCAGCCCAGGGTTTCACCAGTTTGGATCCTGGACGTGGACCTACCATCACTCATCAAGCCATGCTGAGACGGCGTCCCAGGTGGCACAACTAGAAGGACCCCCATAACTAGAATATACGACTGTGTACTCCAGGGCTTTGGGGAGAAGAAGAAAAAAAAAAGAAGATTGGTTACAGATGTTAGCTCAGGACCAATCTTAAAAAAAAAAAAAAGAATTCCTTCAAATCTGAGGCTTAACAAATATTTTTTCAATGAACAAGTGAGTAAATGAATGAAATTCAATGAGAACGAAGCACCAGAAAAGCACATTCTCTTTTCTGTCTCTGGAAGTGGTTGGTGAGGTGGTGATGTCTGGAGCTTCAGTAGCCATATTGGGACCATGAGGAAATAAGCTTGAAGGGGAAAAGCCAACACACTAGGGATGGTAAAGTGGACAGATGAGTAGAACCTGGGTTCCGGGTACCACATTCCCCCGGATGGGCGGATAATGGAGCATGTCTGAAAAGGAAACCATATAGAGGAAATGAGAAGGAGAGAGCACAAAATCTGATGGCATCATTTGAACTTCTGGCCAGAGCCATGCTTGAAACCTCTGTCCTTCTCTTTCCTAGTTATGTCAATTCAATAAACCCTCTCCCCCTTTTTCTTTAAATGTGAGCTATGTCTACTATTTTGGGTCATTTGTAAACAAACGAGTCTGAAGTAATATAGTAGCTTAGGCGTTCTCATTGATTGAAAAAAAGAAACATTATTTCCCTAAGAAAAACAAAAAATTGAAAACTTTTGTAATTGTGACGACAGAGGAGTCTTGCGAGGATTCACAGAAATCCATAGGAAAGCGTCCAGTCACTTTGTGCACAAACCTAGACCAGCCTCCCAGCGTTATCGGGGAAAGTAGCTGGAGCTCAGAGAACAAATGGTGGATGTTGTTCATTTGTTGTTTATACTCCATCTTCTTGGTTCCCTAAGAAAGAGAGCCGTGAGAGCAGGTAGCTATTCTGGGAAGCAAGCTTAGGGAAAGGTGAGAAGACTGGAATGAGCAAACCAGGAGGAAAGAGAAAGCCCATCCAGAAGTGCATTATAGAGTGGGACCCTGCTGTGGGCACCCGGGGAGTCCCGTTGGGGTCTCTCTGAGGAGCCGTGCAGAATGTCAGCAGCGTGTGCTGCGTGACTGTCCACCCGCACGGAGGAGAGGAATAGTTACCCACTGCTTCCTGTCCCCCATTGCTCAAGGATCACCCCAGAAGCGGTAATTCCCTCGAGTTCCTGGTTTACAAGTGCCCTGTGGGGTGGCAAGAGAGAAGCTTGGGAGAGAAAGTGACATGTGGTGCATGCAGCTGAGGTGCCGTGGAGCTGCGCGCGCGCGCACACACACACACACCCCACTGGCTGGCTGCAGTAACGGGCAAAGCAGAAAGGTCAGCAGAGAGGATGTGAGCTGGGTTTAGCATGTGTCCTACCCATACGCCATAAAGGGGTCCCTCTGGAGCACCCCCATTAGCAGAGCACAAGCCGGCCAGGGTCGTAGGCCCCTTCTATCTACTCAAACACAAGCTCAGTTCAGACCCAGATTCCCGTTCAACCAGCCTCTGCTGGGAAGGCAGCCTGGCTTGCCTTTAAAGAAGGAGTCATTCTTCAGAGATTCCTATTTCTTCCATTTCTAAATGGAATTTATCACACCCTCCCAAGGGGGGACCTGAACAACAAGGCAATGTCACAACAGAAGTTTTTGGAGAGGATGAACAGAGCTGTCGATATGGCCATTCTTATTTTGACCCTCTGTAAAAGCTGAAGGCATTCCAGTGAAACAAATCCCAGTACCAACATTTCCTGGAAGTGGGAATGGAAAAAAGTGCTACTGAGGGGCTGGCCCCGTGGCACAGCAGTTAAGTGTGCATGTTCCACTTCAGCAGCCCAGGGTTCGCCAGTTCAGATCCCCAGTGCGGACATGGCACCACTTGGCAAGCCATGCTGTGGTAGCGTCCCACATATAAAGTAGAGGAAGATGGGCATGGATGTTAGTGCAGGGCCAATCTTCCTCAAAAACAGAAAAAAGAAAGGAGTGCTACTGAGCCAACGACATTAAAAAATAATTGAAGATGATGATGATGACAACATGAAGCCAGGTTCACAAGACTGGAAAGAGTCAAAGAATCTGGTTGGGAGCTGGTTTGGCAGAGTGGAAAGAGCACAGGATTTTGAACCAAACCAAGCTGACTCTGAATCCTGGTTCTGATACTTTTTAGCTAGGTGACTTTGGGAACGTCATCCCATCTCTTTGAGACTCAGTTTCCTCATCTGTAAAATGGGGGCTAATAACATCAGCTTCCCAGGGTCGTTAGAGCTGGCAATAATGCATGTAAATTACCCAGCTGAGTGTGTGGCACATGGAGAGTGTTCAAGAAAAGACAGGGAGGAAGAACGAATGAATGAAAGGCAGAAAGAAAGAGGAAAACGAATCTAAAGCAAGTAGCATCGTCTACGGAAAGGAAACGCTGATTTCACCGATATGCTCTTAAAAGAGGAACAAGGAAACAGACTTTCTAAACAGGAGTGTCAGCACCAGAGCAGGGTCCTCAGCACACAGCTTATAGGTCAGATCAGAATGCTCCTTTGGGCTCTGAACTAAAGCACCCTTGGGGATGGGGTGGGTGGCCCTTTGCATGCTTGGGGTGGAAAGGCCAGCCTCGGTCAGAACATCCCCACAGCAGCCTGGGTCCAAGAGCCAGCCCAGTCATAGCTGGGACACTGCAGTTTGAGATCATCAGTGAAGGCGACTTCTCGTCAGGAAGGAGGAGGATGGGGAGGAAGAGCATGCTGGAGACAGAGAAGCCCCTCCTGACTCCCACCAAGGAGTCCTCTTCACCATGTCCCAAGCAGGGCCTGTCCTGGGTCCCGGGTCCCCAGTGTGCTATGGGCTCAACATCCTAAGTGTGTGGGAAAGCAACCTGAACATGTACAATTAACTCCATTCTCCTGGTACTTCGCAAATTAGCACTCTTTAATTTGGGGGGCGTACTCTCTCTTATATGCGTTGTTCCTCTGACTTGTTTCCATGGCAACAAAGGAGGCATGAAGGCGCCATCAGAGGAAGGTACAGGCTGTTTGTTTTCTTTTCACATCCCCTGGGGGCTCAGGGCTGTGGATGGGAGCAGTCACGACTCCTCCATTCCATAAATTACTCACAACAGACACTTCCAGTTTCTCCCAGCTTTGTTTAATAGAGGGGGAGAGGGTGGGCCGGATGGAACCACAGCCTAAGGAGCTTCACACTGCCACCAAGAGAGGCAAGAAGAGTTCTCCTTCACAGTCAAGGCCAAGTTGCGTATCTTCCTGGCAAACAGCTCCCCCACCATCAGTCTTCACAGCCCCAAACGGCCCGGGTCGGCAGCGGCTGCCAGGCCCTGCGGCCACGAGGCAACAGTCCGCTCACCTGTGCCGATCCCTCGGCTCCTGGGTCTGACAGGCTGGGGGGTCTTCTGCCACCTGGGATTTGCCCTCGAGTACCTGCCGGACCCTCTGCATCCCTGGGAAGGGCAAGTCATGGCCAGTCAGCGCTGATGGCTGGGTGGGTGGGGACAGACAAGCGGAGGTTGCTGGGGCCACTTGTGGGGCCAGAAGAGGGAAGCAGAATGCAGGATGCAGTCAGGAAGGGGGCTGGGAAGGCAGGCCGCTCACCCAGGCAAAGCCGGTGGGCCTTGTCCGAGAAGACCAGGCGGAACCAGCCGGGCTCTTTACACTCGAAGGCCTTGCCAAAGGACACCAGCACCTTGTGGTCCAAAAAGCGGCGCCAGAGCCGCCTTTCCTCCTCGAAGCTGCCCTCGGGTAGGTACTGGGAGGGTGGAGGGGGGTCAGGATGCAAATGAGACATCCTTGCCCCTCACCTGCTGGAAGGAGGCCTGAACTCTCTCCCCACCCGCCCCTCCACCTGCATACCTTCCTCAAGTCAGCCCAGATGAAGAAGCCTGCCCCACGACTCAGGAAGGGGATCCCCAGGGCCCTGAGCTCTCCCGCGACATAGGTGTGGGCAGCCTTGAGCCGGGCGTGGTTCTCTGGCAGGTACACCTGGTTGATCCAGTCTGTTTGGGCGAAAGAGAAGCCAAAAGATAAATCTCCCGTCAACCCTCCACTCCATCCTGTGAATCTAAGTGCTGAAAAGAAAAACGCCAAGAGCTGCCGAGACGGGTCCTCTAGCTGGGTGACTGGGGGCCCCGGGCATATTCATTATTCGGTATAAAGCATCTTAAATCCAGACACGTGGCCTGACAGCGCCAGGTCCCGCAGACACCAAGTCCCCCGGGAGACAGCCCTCACCAGAGGCCGATCCACTCACAGAGGGATGCTCCCAAGTCACGAGGCTGAGGTTCGGATCCCAGCGCGGGCCCTGACAAGGTGCGGGGCCTTGGGCAACTTCGCCTCGCCGATCCTCTTTTTTTTAATTGATCTTTTTTTGGTATCCAGTTCGATGAATTTTAACACACGGAGAGATCTAAGTAACCCCTACCATAGTCAGGACACCGAACAGGTCCCTCACCCCAAAGAGCCCCCTCCCACTGCGTCTAGCCACATCGTCTCCTTCCTCAGAACCGCTGGCCTGTTCTCTGCCATTACAGCTGTGCCTCTTCCAGAACGCCATGTAAGTGGAATCATACAGTGACGTAATCTTTTGAGAGTGGCTTCTTTCACTCAGCACAATCCCTCCTGCAGCTGTGGATTTTATTGCTCAGGAGAAGTCTACTGCGTGGACACACCATAGAGGGCTTCTCCATTCATCTACGGAAGGAAATCTGGGGTGTTTCCAGTTCTGGGTGGTTATGATTAAAGCAACTATAAACATTCACATAGTGGTCGTTAGGAGACCATCAGGGTAAGTGTCTAGGAGCAGCACGGCTGGGCCATTTGGTAAGAGTGTGTCTAACTTTATAAGCAACTGCCAAATTGTTTTCAACGTGGCTGCACCATCTTGCAGTCCCACTAGCAGTGTGTGACAGTTCCAGCTGCTCTGTCTCCTGGCCAACGCTTGATGCTGTCACTACTTTTTTTTTTTTTTTGAGGAAGATTAGCCCTGAGCTAACATCTGCTGCCAATCCTCCTCTTTTTTGCTGAGGAAGACTGGCCCTGAGCTAACAACTGTGCCCATCTTCCTCTACTTTATGTGTGGGATGCCTGCCACAGCATGGCTTGACAAGCGGTGCCATGTCCGCACCCAGGATCTGAACCAGCGAACCCCGGGCCACTGAAGCGGAACGTGCGCACTTAACTACTGAGCCACCGGGCCAACCCCTGTCACTATTTCTTTTAATTTAGCTATTAAAGCAGGTGTGTGGTATCTGATCCTCATTTTCCTTATCTATAAAATAATATGGAAAATACAGAAATATTTGCTTCCTAGGATTCTAGGGAGGGACAAGCAAGATGGTGCAATGAGAGCATCTAGCAGGGCTCAATAAATGGTGGCAGTTACAGGTAACCTTTGCCATCTAACCCGCTGTCTGAGCCTGGGAACAGAACAGACCTGCATAGAGAGACACTTCCATCAGGAAAATTTCCCCTAGTAGCTTCCACTCTTTCTTCAAGTGCGCACAGCTCATAATAATGAGTTCACATTGAGCAACTGTCAATTATATGCCAGGCACTATTCTAATTGAATGACAAATAATACTAACCCCACAAGACAGGTACCAAGGTGATCCCTGTTTTACAGATGAAGAAACTGAGGCCGGGGGAGGTGAAGGGATGTGTCGTGCAGCCAGGAAGTGACCAAGTAGGGTACGAAGCCAGTTTGAGGCCAGAGCCAACTCTCAACACCATCCTAAATCTTCTCATTGGAGAACCAGCCATGATTCCCGGCCAGTCCCAGACTGGCTACGACCCTCCCCCATCCTCAGGTGACCAGGCCCAGGTAGTCACCACGATCCCGGAGCAGCTGTGCCATCTGGTGCTGGACCAAGCCACTGAGGCCGTGGTAGCGGCAGAGGGAAGCCACCGCAGTGGCCACGTCGCGGTTTTCTGTGTACAGCGTGCCAAAGCGGAGCCCAGACATCCCGAAGTCCTGCAGGAGAAAAGCACACTAGGCCGTGGCCAGCCCTCCAGGGAGGAAGCGGGTCCCCCCGCCTCTCTGCCCACCCACCTCCTGACACCCCAAGGCCAGCCAGGAACCCACCTTGCTGGTGGCCCACATCACGTGGGTCCTCTGGGGGTCAGGCAGCCTGCGGAGAACACAAGTCCTGGTTTCATCTCTTGAATCACCAACTCCTACGCAAGCTTTAAAGCAGGGTCAGCAAATTATAGCCTGCAGGCCAAGTCTGGCCCACTGCCTGTTTTTGTGAATAAAGCTTTATCGGGACACAGCCACGCTCTTTCATGTACCTACTGTCGATGGCTGCTTTTGTGCTGTGACGGCAGAGTCGAATGAGAGACCACACGGCCCAAAAAGCCTAAAATATTTGCCATCTGATCTAAAAATATTCACTGGCCCCTGATCTAGAGCATAGCTCAGGTGTCACCTCCTCAAACCGATCTCTGAACACCTGCCAGTAGACCAGGCCAACGGGGCTCCCAGACAGATCTTCTCGAGGCTCCCAGACTTCTCCTTTTTAGCACAGATCACGGCCATCATCAAATGACGAGCTGTGTATTTAGCTGCTAAAACGGGGGGTTTTTTGGCTAGAAATACAAGCGTCACATAGAAAGCCTGCGTCTTTCTTGTTCATGGTGGTGTCCTGAGCACCTCACATAGTGTCTGGCACACAGGTGATGGCAAGTCACTATTTCTCTGTGTCTCACTTTCCTAATCCGTGGAAGGGGAGAAACAACCCCTGCTCCAGGAAAGGTGCAGAGCTTTGCGAGGACCAGCTAAAAGAACCAACAGGAGGGCTCAGCAGGGTTGGGAGGTCTGAACCATATCTCTGAATTGAATCTCTGAATGTCAGATTTACAGACATCACAGATGTCTGGCCCAAGTGTTTCCAAAGGTGTTCTTGGCTCAAACTCAATCTAATGCAAAAGCCCAAACAGCCAGAAGTACTTAGCACATGCAAGGGGCACATGAACGAATGAATGAAACTGGAACTACTCAGGGGATGAAAGAAACAGCAAAGGAGGCCAGTTTCTCACCCACCCAGCCCTCTGTCAAGGAATCCTAAGGCCCCTCCTCGTTGCTCTCAGAAACCCCACAGAACAATTGGAAAACCACTGATCTGGCCCAGACCTCCCATCCTCTCATTAGGGGATCTGAGAACAGTGGGATCAGCTGGATGGAAGAGGGATCACCCTGGGGCAGGCCATGCCCTGTGGGCCGAGCCACAGAGGGGCCAGGGCACCGCGGGGGAGTGGGGGCTGGCAGAGTCAGCTCTGTGGGGCAGCCTCACCTTTCCAGGCTTAGGACACTGCGGTACCCAACTGACTCCTCAAACACGGAGAGCATGTAGACTTCATCCACCATCACGTGCAGCTCGTGCCTGGCGGGCAGGTGGCGGGGAGGACAGAGCTTGGTTCGCAAGCCAAACGCATCCCCCAGGATGGGGTGGCAGCGAGTCAGAAATCCAGAGGGATCACGGTCAAGCCCAGGGTTACCAAATTTGTTTTTTCCAGGAACACCCTTCTTTTGTCTACTTTTTTCAAACACACAGGAAGCCGCACACACAAAGCAGGTGACAACGGGGCTTTGAAGCGCATGGGGGAGAGGCAGAGCCCTCGGGCACCACCAGGAGGATGGGTGCAGTTAGTGCAAGACAGTTAAGTACCAGCAGACCCAGATTCAAGTCTGGCTCCACCCCTCTCTCCACGGCTCAGTAAACCGGGATAACGAGAGCATCTATACCTAACCGGGATGTTGGGAGGATTACATGAAATAGAACACATCAAGTGCTCAGCAGGGGGCCAGGCCCCTAGAGCATGCCATAGATGACAGCTGTTGTTAAAAAAGAAAGAGAGAACCAGTATCCCACAGACCCCCACCTCCCCACCCCACTGCCTGGGAGGGGCCAAAGCAGGGAGAAGCCCACAGTGGAGCCAAGAGGGTAGGACCAGTCCCAAAGCCCACATCAGAACCCCGATCCACCCTGACGCTTTGTGGGGTGAGGGTGGGGTGCCTCACCTCTTGGCAAACTCCAGGAAGTTCTGCAGCTCAGCTGGGGAGTAGATGTCGCCCAGAGGGTTCTGGGGGTTGATGAGGATGAGGCCTTTGACCTTTATACCCTGAAACCATTGGTGGGGCGGGAGACGCTCAGCTCCTCCCGAAGGCCAGAGCCGGGCCCCACTGGACAGGGCTGGTCACCGAGCCGGCTCCCAGGGAGTGTGATGGAAACGTGTTCACCACCCACAGGAGGCGAACAAGGACAGAGAATTACATCTGCAGCATCGTGAGGACTATGAAAGAAAACAAACGCAGGAACAGAGCCCAGGGGAAACATGCCCACACGCCAGCAGAGGTCAACTTTGTTGGTGGAATTATGGCAGGGGGCGGGAGTTGCGCTTTTAAAATTCCTACAGTGGACATGAACAGACCACGTAAAAGAAAATTAGGTTGATGGATTTCTGAAAAGTGGACTGGAAAGCAAGCCCTGGAGTACACTGGTCTCTGCCGGTCTGCAGGAGGCCTCAGATCCCCTCGGAGTGAGGGGGACCACCTCCTCAAATCACCACCGAGACTGCGGAACTACAGGCTTCCAAGTCCATCCTTGACCCACTGAATCAGCATCGGGCGGAGCGGGGGAGTGGTGTTTCCAATCAAGCGCCCGGTTGATTCTCTGAACACTGAGGTCTCAGAGTCTTTCTCCAGTGGGAGGACCCTCCATGGGCAGGCTCCTGCTTGACCCCAGAACAGTCCCGCGCTACCACCCTACCCCTCTCCCCCACCCCCATCACAGAGTGCCAACCCTACTCCCCGGAGGAGATCAGCCACAGGACAAGGGGTCCATGCCTCGCTCAGACCCCCCACTCCCAGCCTTGGATTTTGATCCTCAGACCTGAGAATTAGCTCCTTGCAGGGCCATCTCCAGCTTCTCCACTGTGAGCTGGAAGGGGCGTGTATCTGGCCCAGTGACCTGGAGAAATAGCCACAAATAGCACCAGCCAAATTCAGTGACCCCCAAACCTGAACTCTGGGGGTCTCTCCCACCACTGTCATCTCCAGCCTCCTTTCCCCGCCCCATCACTCAGGGACACCCTTTACACTCAGGTTTTGGGAAGAGCCCCAGAGGTCCTCTGACTGGGGTCCAAGGATGTCCATGTTGAGGTCTGCTCTGCCCCATCTCACCCTCCTTTTTCGGTCCAGTTGCCCAGGGGCCGCCCTTGGCTTCTACATGGACCCCAGGGCTCTCAGAACAGGGATCCTAGGAGCCCCCGGGGAAACACAGGCAATGGCAACCGTGGGCAACAGAAGCCTCCACTCCCCTTTCACCTGTAACCCCATATCCCTCAGCGTGGACTTCCACCCATGTCCACCCTCAAATTCAGATGCAGGAAAGTCTTGACCTCCAGGAAGACCCCGTCCTCCCTGGGGCCCCAGGAATTCTTACCTCACTGTCCAGATAGACAGAGACCAGTCGGACGTTGCCATAGAGACAGACGTGCTGTGTGATGGCTCCATAGTAAGGGGCAGGGATCAGGAAAGCCTCTGGGGGCAGGAGTGGGCCAGGGGCTGTCACTCTCTGGCCAGAACACCCCAGACCCCCATCCATGGGCCCCACACCTCTCCAAGCCTTCAATGTCCTTGGGGAACATTCGGGCATGCGCCCTCTCTCAACTCCCGAAAGTCTTTCTGAAGCTTGGATCCACTGAGATCAGTCCCTCTTCTAATAACCAGTAAGTGACATTTACTGATCACTTAGTACATCGTGGGAACTGTGCTAAACATTAAAGTGCATTTTCTCTCATTGGATCCTTACAATTGCTCTGTGAGGGAGGTACTGCGATCATCCTAACTTTACCGACGAGGAAACTGCAGCTCAGAGGGTCCCTCTGAAGCGCCTGACATGTGGGCTCACTCCAAGATAGGCTTGGACGCATGAGTCAAAGCTGCAGGATGATGATCTGGGCTCAAGAAACGGAAAAACCGGACAACACAGAGAACCGCCTAGAGAGAAACCATGCTGCTTCAGGAGGAGCGGGTTCTCTGCCCCCGGTGGCATCAGACAAAAGGCTGAGACCGTCTGGGGATGCCATGCAGGGGTCTCTAGCTGTGCATAGGGGGTTGATGAGATGCTGGTTCCCCCTCCAAGGTCAAGGGGAAAAGGCATTCTTCCAGTTCTGAAGAGGATGCAGGGGTCCAGCTGCCCTCCTTCTCAACCATCCTTTAGCACCATCCCCCCACTCGCAGCTCTGGAGGGGGCAGCCTTTGTCCCACATTGTTCCCTCCCCCGGCCATGGGGATTGGACCAAAGGTAGACAAACGACCCAAGGGCACCAATCCACTGGCCGGTCAGAACCCCATCAAGTGCCCTCTCTCTCTCAGGCCTTTGCTCTAAGAAGCACAGACGTTGTGAGAGAGAATGCGCACTTGAATGGAAAGGCCATGCGGCATCCGAGCTGGGGCAACAACACTGGGCCACACAAGAGCTGAAGAAGGTCCAGAGAGAGGCCAAACAAAGGGGAGAGACTGCATACCCCGGTAAGAGATGGAGTGTGACGTTGATCCTGTTCCTGATTGTTCTGGAATGGGTAGGAACTCGCCTACTACGTCCTTGCAATGCATCTTCCTTTTATGGTTCAAATCCTGGTCACTATCTCTCTGTGTGATTTTGACCAGTTACTTAACCCATGTGCCTTAATCTCCTCATCTGTGAAGTGGGCGTAACCATTGAAACCACTGCATTGGGTGAGGGTCGAATTCTCAGGCCAGGCCTGGAACGTGGTATGTGGTCAATAAATGTTACCAATATTATGACTGGGCCTCCGTTCCTGGCAACCAATGACCGCTGACCATGGCCAGTTCTCGCCATGACCATGGCTCTTACAGCACGCACCACTGGCGGCTGCTCACTAGCCATTCCGACGTGCTTCCTCGCTACTGAGCACCAGATTTTTTAGATATGATCAACAGGAAGTCTACAGAAGATGGGCCTTCCCCCAGCCCCAGGAGATGAACCAAGTTTGATTTAGGCCAACCATGGTCCCCTTAGTCCCCTTTGCCAGGGACACCTTTCAGAATGGGTTTATGAGCCTGTTCTGGGCACTAAGATGTAAGAGGGGCTCTGGTGGGACTCTTCTGGCAAAGAGAAGTCCCATTCGCACCTCCCGATAAGGAAGAGACAGGCAAGGCACCACCTCATCCTTTTTCCTGCTTTGGACACGCTGTCGTGCGAGGATGTGACAGCCATCTGTGAGCGTGAGGGAAACGCCAAGGTCATCACAAGAGACAGCCCAGAACTCTGGCATCACACTGACCTCTCCTGATCTGCTGATCACTGGGTTTCCTGTTGAGCCACTTATTTAAGGCCCCTGTAGTCTATTAGGGTCGAAAGCATCCTGATGCAGCCCTCGAGGACAGGCCACTGGGGACACTGCAGGCCCAGGGCAGCCCCAGTGCTGAGGGGCAAAGCCCACTTACCCCCGACCTCACACAGCACCGTGGCCAGAGCAGAGAAGACAGAGGCACAGCCGTTCAGAACAACCACCTGAGGGCGACATATCCATGGGACAAAGATGAATCTGCCCCAGGAGGGAGCAAGGACCTGCAGCCTCTATCCCAGGATGGCACAGAGGGGAGAGTTAGGTCGCAGTTCGACGCCCTCAAGGCTCTGTCACAGCAAAGCCGCAGGAGGTCCCCAAAGGCCCCCACTGACTAAGAGCGGGGCTCATTCATGTGGCTCATTCTTGGGGAACCTCCTTGAGGCCAACTGAGCAAGGAAGAGGGAGCTGGTCACTCAGAGAGTCTTGCCCGAAGGTGTGGAGGCAAAGTGGGGCCACAGAACACAGGGGGCAGAAATTATACCCCAACCCGACGTACCTAGGATGAGGGAGAAAGAAGGAGGGGTATCTCTAATTCCACTCAGAAACAGATCAGAACGGAGTGAAAGGCAGATCGCAACCCACCTCCCCTCTGGCCCGCCAGAAGCTGGGGGACGAGGGCAGAGGGGCGGGGGAGGGCAGAGGAGGGGCTGCTCACATTCTCCGCTTGAAGGGGCGCCGGGCTCTTGCAGTAGAAAGACAGGAACCTGGCCACTTCCTCCCGGAGGCTGGAGGGAAGACAGACAGACGGACAGCGCCTGTCAGACACACAGGCCATCCCAAGGCTCCTGTGGGGAATCTTCAGGCAGCTGCCATCACCCTTCCCTGGATCCCCACAAGGGGACAGTGGTCAGCGTCTGTCTCCACCCCCCAGGGCCCGCCTTCCCCTCCCCCCACCGTCACTACCCCCACAAATCAAAACTCTCATTCTCAGTCGTTCTAGAACACCCAACCCCACCTAACTAGCAGACTTCAGGAACATCGAAAGTATACTCTATATGTATACATAGCTAATAATAATAATAATGAAACAGTATTATTATAAGAATAGCTATTATCATAGTTATTATTGCTAATATTTATTGAACATTTACCTTATGCAGGTACTATTGGGAGAGTTTTAGGCATCTAATCTCCAAAACAACCCTATGATGCAACTACTGTTATTATCATTTCCATTCTACAGACAAAGAAACTGAGGCTTGCAGGAATTAAGTCACTTGCTCGTAAGTGGCAGAGTCCACACTCAGGCCCGGGGGTCTGCCTCCAGGGCTCAGCATCTAAATTACTACAAGAACATGCACTTTGGAATCAAGTCCTGCCCGGTCACTAAGCGCTTAGAACAGCATGTGGCTCCTAGTAAGCGCTCATTAGGTATAAACTCTTATTAGCCTTATTTACCACCTCCTATATCAGCAGCAGGAAAAGGCCCCAGCCAACTCCCCCGAAACTGATTCTGGCTCCTTTAAAACTACTGAGAAACTGGGGACAGAGATTCCTCGCCTGAAGGCGCCGCCCTGCCTCAGACCCAGATAAACCAAGCCAGGGAGCTCCTGAGCTGGGGTGGGACCGGCAGACGCCCCAGCTCCCTCGAGATGCTCCAGGAGAGCCCCCCGTCGCCTGGTCTCCAGGACGAGGCCCTCAGCCTACGGCGGGCTTCCTCCACCCGCCACTATGACATTTGAGACCAGATAATTCTTTGTTGCGGGGGACTATCCTGGCCTCTGCAGGAAGTTTAGCACCCTCTCTTGCCAATAAATGTCAGTAGCACCCCCGTCCCAGTGATGACAAGCCAAAATGTCTCCAGACATTGCCTTATGTCCCCTGGGGAGCAAAGCCACCCTGTGTTGAGAACCACAGGCCCGTGGCAACTACTCACAAGAGATGCCCCCTCCAGTCAGGGTACTGCAGCAGGGCCGGCTCTACCCGCAGCATGTCGCTCTGACTCAGCTGGGGACAGAGAGGGACAAGCAGGGCTGAGGGCGGCACACCCTCACCGTGAGAGCTGGCACCGCCACCCACGTCCACACAGCACCAGGGCCTCTAAAGCCAGGGCTGGGTCTGCTCATCAGAGAAACCAGGGGACAGGCAGCACAGGAACAGCATCCTCGTGCCCATTTTACAGATGAGGAAACCGAGGCTCAAAAAAGTGAAGTGACTCAGGCAAGTTCCCAGCTAGCAAGTGGCAGAGCTGAGACAAAATCCAAAACTTTGGACTCCTAGTCCAGTGCTCTTTATACAACACTGCCACCTGAAAAACCAGAGGGGTGCATTTGTGGAGGCAGCGACAGGAGACCGTGGTACTCGATTTCTCCACGGGGTGACGGAAGAGGTCCCAGAATTGGGTGCCATCATCTCGGTCTTGGCTCCAGCTCTTGGAGAGACTCAGGCCATTGTGTTCGCAGGCTCAGCTCAACCTCACACTTTGGAAAAGGTGGCCATTTCTAGACCAGCCCCCGCTGCCCAGGCGCTGGGTTAGTGTCTCGCAGAGCATCACACACACAACGTCAAGAAAAGGCAAGGGCCTTGGGCAGTGGGACCAAAAGGAAGAGGGGTGACCAGCCACCTGTCTATAGGCCCGGCCTTTCCCGGCTCTCTTTCATCCCTCGGGGCTGCGCTGTCCAATACGGAAGCCGCCAGCCCCGTGTGGCCACTGAGCAGTGGGGTGCAGCCCGTCTGAACTGAGACCCAGTGGATCTTGAAGACTTGATCCGAACAAAGGATGCAAAACATCTCATTGATAATTTTTTATATTGATTACATGTAGAAATGGTCATATTTTAGATCTATGGGGCTAAATGCAATATATTAGTAAAGTGAATTTTACCAGTTTCTTTTTACTTATTTAATAGAAAATTTTAAATTACATGGGCGGCTCACGTTTTATTTCTGTTGGACGGTGCTGAGCTGCCTGAGCCGGGGCAGCTTTCGGTAGAACCGGCCTTTCAAGCCCATTTCCTACACCCTTCCCCCCAGGGCTTGCGTACTTCACCCTGGGAAACGCGTCCCTTTGGATTAAGGACCGCCCTCTCTACAGGCCCAAACTCTGACCCCAAGGCCCGGGAAGATACATTTATCAGGTGTTTCCAGTGGTTTGCTGGAGATGGCTTGTGCCAGCTCAAGAAATCTGCTTACTAAATTTCAGGAGTTTTGCAAGCAGTGTTAAAACAGCCATTTAAAAAACTAAACTATAGGCGGCCGGCCCCATGGCCTAGTGGTTAAGTTCGGCTCCCTCTGCTTCGGCGATCTGGATTTGCGGGTTCGGTTCTAGGGCACAGACCTACACCACTTGTCAGCCATGCTGTGGCGGCAACCCACACACAAAATAGAGGAAGATGGGCACAGATGTTAGCTCAGGGTTGATCTTCCTCACCAAAAAAAAAAAAAGGAAGCAGGCTCAGAGGAGGGAAGTGACTTGCCCAAGATCACATAGAAAGTTGTCCCCAAGGCAGATGTGGAATCTGGGTCTCCTGATACCCAGGCCAGGGCTGCTGAGGCCAGCAGCTGGCTCTTGTGGGGGAACTTTCCAGGGACATACAAGAGAAGACAGCCCCTCAGAGCTGGAGATGCCACCCGCAGGCGCACCAGGACTTACCCTCTTGGACAGCAGGTCAAAGCAGAGTTTGTTCTCACTGGTGCCCAAGTTAATGATGCCCTGGAGACGAGAGGCACAGAGGCAGTGTGAGCACAGCAGAGGGGGCACCGAAAGGCCAGAGGAGCCCACTGAGGCAGCCAAGACAAGGAGGAGCTCCCCACAACCCAGGCCTTCCAACTGCCCCTGCTCACCTTTGCTCAAGCTCCACCCTCCACTCAGCTCCCTGAACCCAACCTCCCATTTCTAAGGTTCTATTCCAACACCATCTCCTCCAGGAAGCTTTCCTCAACACCCCACCTGGAAGGGATCCTTTCTTCTTCTGGAGTCTGAGCTCTTTATCTCTCCCCCTTTAGAGCACTGGTCGGTTTCTGCCCCAGGTCACAGGGACTGATGTACATTCCTTCTCTCCCCCACTAGATGGTGAGGTCCCTGAAGGCCGGATGCATGCCTGAGACACCACTGCATCTCAAGGGGCTCAGAAGGACTCCATACATGGTTAGGGGACGAAAGGATGCACAAAGTAAATGGATGCTCCAGCTGGAGCAGAAACAAGGGTGCCTCAGAGCAAGAAGAACGCCCGTGCTGGTGGAAACGCTCCCCCGGGAGATCCGGGCGACACCACACGACACCCGATCCCCACCGCACAGGCACGCATTCTCACAGGGGAGGGGCGGGGGAAGGCACAGCTCAAGCTGTCCCTTATCGAGTCCCCAGAGAGACGCACGCACTATAACTCCTGGCCCCTGAGCTACTGGGGGAATGAGCAAGGAGGGAGGATGAACAAGGAGAGCTTGGATGAGCTAAGATTACGACAAATAAAACGCACTGCTCCTGCACGCTCCTCCACCCACCTTCAACTCACCCGCAAATCCTGCCGCTTCTACCTGCAAAGTATGTGCACAGTCTCAGCACTTCTCATCCTCCTTAGGTCTGCTAAGACCCTGGTCCCAGCCACCAGCCTTTCCCATCCACATTATCGCAATAGCTCCCCTGCTTCTTTTCTTACCCACCCTCTCCCCATCACTCCTGTCGGGAGGGGCCTGGCTGAGGCTTGGGAGAGCCCAGCTAGTTGGGGGAGGATCCCAGAGAAGACTTATGGCTGTTCCCTCTGCCTGGAATGCTCTTCCCCCAGAGGTAATTTGTTACACAGCAATGGATAGCTAATACAATCCCTCTTTTTTCAGGTCTCTGCTCAAATGTCACCTTATTAAAGTGGCCTTCTGTGACCACCTCACATAAAACAGCAATATCCCCAGCCCACTCCATCATTCTCTATCCTCTTTACCCTGCTCTATTTCCCTCTACAGCACTTATCACCACACATCATATGATTTTTTGTCTGTTCACTGTCTGTCTCCTCCACTAGACGATAAACTCCATGAGGGCAGGAATCTTAGTTTTGTCCACAGCTGTAACCCTGGCACCTAGAACAGGGCCCAGGACCTGGTACATGCTCAACAAATAAAGATTATTAATGGGTTGTTTGTGTGAGCTCCGCCCTCTGAAGGTGTTGCTAGTAACAACTTACAACAGTCCGGACAGAAAACATTAATAACAATAGCAGCTCCCATTTACTGATGCTCTAGGTGGATGCCCTGTGCTAATAACACCCCAGATCTCGTTTCACTGTGACCCTTCTACACAGCAGGTATCATTAGCCCACTTTAGAGAGGATCTGAGGTTCCAAGAGGTTAAGTAGCTCAAGAACACACGACCCATCCCACTTTGCAGCCTAGTCTTGCAAAGGAAACATTTGCAAGCCTAGTCCTGTCCCAGCTCTAAAGTTGGAGAGCTGACGGGCTGTGGGTCAGAATCCATCTAAGAGCGTTCCACGGTTCTTGAATGCCTCCCTCACAAATCAGGGCCCCCTTAGTGAAAAATGGGCTATTTTCTGATCCAGGTAATAAACTGGGGCCTCCCTGAGCTACGTCAGAAGACCTCTTAGAGGTCCGAGGACCACAACTGCAACCTGACAAGAGCCAGCTGGCGCTGCCCCATCCGGCAGCCTTGTCTTGAGTCCCGTGGGGAGGGGGCTTCACTCACACTGGGGTTCTTATCCTCATCGTACTCATCCATGTGGTAGGTCCTGTAGCCGGCCTCAGCTGAGTCCCAGAACCATTTAATGATGCCTCCTCTAGAGGACAGGTGGGAGCTATTGGAGGAGAACCCGGCGGTGGGATCACCCACTCCGTAGAGCTCCGGCAGCTTCTGGTCTGGCTTTCTAGAACATTCTCTTTCCAGACCATCCCCACAGTTACTGTCCAGGTCCTGTGTGGAGGCTGGGCCCGGACAGGTGGATGGTGCCCTGGATTCCTTCTCAGGGAGGGCAAACATCTACAAAAAGACAAAAGCACTCAATGCAGCAAGCACCAGAAATGAATTGGGAGTCATGGGGTCCCCGCCTTCTCTATCTGCCCGTTCCTTTAAGTTTATATGCTCAGTGCTTTCTGTGTCCCTCACTACTGTAACCATGTGCAATCACCTCAACAAGCAAATTTCATTAAGGATATACTCCGTGCCAGGGGCTGTACTCGCTATCTTTATATGACTTTAATGTATAGGTGCTTTAGCTTGTTTTACTCCTGTGAAGTTTTTCATTCTGCAGCCTAAGGGGTGACCAACGTCCTTTTTCCATGCTTACTGACCTCAATTTCAAAAAGCCAGGTTAAAATTTTCCAACTTGAAGCAGAAAGAGCCTGGAGTCCCAGAAGGTCCCGTGGTAACTGATGTAAACAGGGGTGAAGGGTACAATGAGACTATTTGGTGCTCCGGAGCAGAGATGGGTGGGGACTGAGGGGAGCGGGGTCTCCGCAAGTGTAGACACCCCAGGCAGAGCTCCAGGGGCCGTCTTCACTCCTGAGGGAGGGAGACGGGGGCACCAGGAGCCCGTGGTCTCATCCTGCAAGCCGGGTGTGAGTTCCTCCACTTTCCCAGCCAGTTTCTTCTGCTGCACTGTGGGTACCACCGTAACTACCACACAGAGGAGCAGCGAGGATATAAACACATGAGTTCATGCAGACAAGCCTTAGAGCAAATCCTGGCTCACAGTCAGGATTCTATCACAACTCCTTCCCGATTTTCCCATGCACAAGCCCCACACACCAAATGACGAGTGACAGCCAGCGGCCCAGAAACCCAGGGCCCCCCCCCTCCCCACCCCCGATTAAATTTTGCTCCGTAAGTCTTCTCTGGGATCCTCCCCCAACTAGCTGGGCTCTCCCAAGCCTCAGCCAGGCCCCTCCCGACAGGCCAGGCCAAGGAAGGGCAGCCCGGTGGAAGCGCGGGGGTGGGAGGCGAAGCCTGGGGTCGCGGTGGGGGCGGCGGGGCTCGGCTCAGCGCTGCGCGGGAGCCAAGGGCGGGCTCGGGGCGTCCAGCCGGGCGGCGACGAGTCCCCAGCCAGACACCCTCGCCCGATCAGGCCTGGGAACTCCAAAATGCAGCAGATCTGGCGGATAATAAAGCGAAAGGGCCTCTGCAGGGCCGCGAGCCGTCCGCGAGAGACGCTCCTGCTGTCCAGGAGGAGGAAGTCTGAGTGGGGCAAAGGGCTGGGAGACGGAAGAGCCGAGACGTTTACAGAGAATCCTCCAGCCGGTGCACATAGCGGGGCGCCGAGGCCCCCCTTCTCTGCAAAGCGGGGATCGCACCTACTTGGCCGAGCTGGCGGGGACGGGCGCTGGCAGTCCTGGACGCGCGTTGTGTCGGTTTCCCTCGCCCGCGCACGCTTTACGCGCGGGCGCCCGGCGCCAGGGCACCCGGACTCGGGGACCGCGGGCCTTCCCGGACTGTTCGGGCGCAGCCCGCCCCCTCGCGCCCGCAGCCGCAGGACGCCTCGGTGTGGCCCGCGCGTTAGGGGGCGCGCTCACGGTCGCACCCCGGGGACGGGGGCTCCTCCGATCCTCCCAGTGCCCGGTCCCCCGCCACTGGCCGCTCAGGCCGGAGGAGAAGCCGGAGGAGAAGGGCCCAGGGCGGAGACCTCCACGAGGAAGGGGCGGGCCGCCCGCTGCCACCTCTGTGCTCCCTGGCCTGAACATTCCGGCGTCTCCTCCCTCCCACGTTGGCACGTGGCGGCGCCTCCCCCTGCCTCCCGGGCTTCGTTCTCCGATTTTGAGGCTGGTAGAGCCATAGAGTTTTCTGGGCAAATGTATGCCTGGTGTCGCCCACGGGAAAGCCTTTTCGGATTAAGGCGAGGGCACTCTTAAAACATCCTTCTTCTAGGAGAGTTTTTCACGGGGGGTTGTTAATTTCTCCCTCTTTCCTTCTAGGCATCGTTTGCTGAACTCTGCCGCGGACCCTACACATTCCGGGGCTTGGGCAATGAGTTAGTTCCCCCGTGAGTTAGTTCCTAATGCTCTCCGAGGTGCCTTGAGTAGGAAAATTTTCCTCCCCGCCCCCCCCCCCCAGAGGAAATAAGCAGGATCCCAGGATACAAGTATGGCTGGGGAGGTTTGGCTGGCTTCTGACCACTCCACTTGTTATCTTCACTTTGGCCTTGCCACTAACATTGTCACCTTGAGCAGCTCTCGGGACATTTTGGCCCTCGCCTTATGTTCTGTGAAATAAGCCAGTTCTCCCGTTTAAGTCCCATCATTCTATATAATTCAGATAACTAGGCTTATCGAATGCCTGTTTTGAGCCAGATCTCTGCAAAGGGCTGGGATACAGGGATGAGCAAAACAAACAGCTGACTTGCTTAATTGCTTGGGAAGGCGGACATATGGATGTGGTGACTGTTCCCAAAGGGATTGGGGGGTGCTGTGGAAGAAGCATGCAGCCCGGGGTTTAACCCTACGCCCACTTATTATGCACTGGCTCACGCAGAAAGCCCCTACATACACATACATTCACCCTAAACACTTAGGAAGCGATGGTTGAGTTCCGGGGGTCGAGTCCTGGTTAATTAGCTGGCAGGCGGGGTGTTGGAAGCAGAAGGAAGGGTTCGGGGTTAGAGTCAGCGTGGAACATGAATGAACTGCGACACATCCAGCAGCGCCGGAGCTTGCTGGGTCCGGAAGGGAGGCTGCAGATACCGGCAGGGGGCAGTCATGAGCCTTTGTAAATCGTGAAACGGAGTGTGGACTTCTCACTGAGGGCGCTGGATAAATATATTGTAATTCCCAAAGCAAACAAGTTTTTGCAAAATCTAGAGATATAACTCAGAAGCCAAAAAAGGCAATAAAATGTGATAGTAAATAATGCTTGATTAATCTGAAAGAAGGCAAACAGGAAGGAGAAAAATGAATAAAGAGTATATGGCACAAATAGAAAAAAAATAGCGAGGCAGTTGACTTAAATCCAACCGCATCTATAATGACGTTAAACGGAGTGACTAGGACCGATTAAAAGATCATCAGACTGGATACAACAGCAAGATTCAAGTATGTATGGTGTTTGCAAGACATATGTTAAATAAAAAGACAAACGGTTAAAAGTAAGATGGGAAAAAGTGTATCACGCAAATGATAAGAGGATGGTTATTATTCAAAAACCAAAAAAGCAAGTGTTGGCAAGGATGTGGAGAAATCGGAGCCCTTGTGCACCGTTGGTGGGAGTGTAAAATGCTAACAGCCTCTGTGGGAAACAATATGGAGATTCCTCAAAAAATTAAAACTAGAATTACCACGTGACCCAGCAATTCCACTTCTGGATATATTCTCGAAAGAACTGAAAGCAGGGTCCTGAAGAAATACTTGTATACCTGTGTTCACAGCAGCATTATTCACAACAGCTAAAACATGGAAGCAACCCAAGTGTCCAGCGGCGGATGAATGCATAAGCAAAATGCTGTATATACATGCAAAGAAATATTAGTCTTTAAAAGGGAGGAAATTCTGACATGCTACAACATGGATGACTCTTGAGGACATTATGCTAAGTGAAATAAGCCAGTCACAAAAAGACAAATACTGTACGAGTCCACATAAGAGATACTTAGAGAGGTCAAAATCTAAAGACAGAAAGTAGAATGGTGGTTGCCAGGGGCTGGGGGAAGCAGGGAAGGAGGGAATGGAGAGTTATTGTTTAATAGGCATAGATTTTCAGTTTTAGAAGATGAAAAGAGCCATGGGGATAGGTGGTGGTGATGGAAGCCCAGCAATGTGGATGTGTTTAATACCACTGAACTATAGTCTTAACAATGGTTAAGATGGTAAATTGCATGTGTATTTTAACACAAAAAAAGAATCATAAGCTAAACCTTTCGTAATAATATCTGACATAGACTTCAAAACAAAAAGAATTACCAAAAATTCAAAACATTTCATAATGATAAAATCATCAACTAATCAGGATGACAATTTTAAACAGTTAGACCCCTAATAACAAAGCTTCAAAATACATGAAGCAGAAACTGACAGAACAAAAGGGAGAAATAGACAAATCAAGAATTATAGTTGGAAACTTTAGCACCCCTTTCTAAGTAAGAGAATGGATCAAGGGACAGTAAGGATGGGGAGATATAAACATTATGAAACAATTAAACCTAATTGATATTTATAGACCACCACACCCAATAAGTTCAAAATCCACATCTTTTCAAGTGCACCTGAAACATTGACCAGGATAGACCAAATACTTGGCCGTCAGCAAATCTCAGTAAATTTCAAAGGACTGAAATCATAGTTTATACTCTCTAGTCATTAGAAAACTAAAGTAGATATCATTAACAAAGATACCTGAACAATCCCCAAATATTTAGAAACTAACACATGCTAAATAAATCATTGATAAAAAGAAATTACAGGGAAATTAGAAAATCTAATGATTGTACAAACCAACATGTCAAAATTATATATGGCTAAAGCAATGCTTGGAGAGAAATCAATAGCTTTAAATGCTTATATTTTGGGGGAAAAATGCAGCTTAAAACCATTCACCCAAGCTTCCACATTAAGAAGCTAGAAAAAGAGCAAATTAATCCCAAAGTAAATAAAAGGATGTAAAGATAAGAATGGAAGTGAAACAGAAAAGAAACAGTAGAGAAAAAAATCAATAAAACCAAATTTGGCTCTTCGAAAAGATTAATACAATTAATAAACATTTAGATTAACTGATTAAAAAACATTTCAATATTAGGAAAGAAAGAGGAGATAACACTGTGCATCCTACAGATATTAAAGAGATAAGAAGAGAATATTATGAACAATTTTATGTCAATAATAAACTTAGATAAAATGGATTTTCTCAAAAGACACAAATTGCCAAAACTGACACAAGAATTAGAAAATGTGACTAGCCCTATATCTGTTGCGGAAACTGAATTCATGAGTAAAAACCTCCCCGCAAAGAAAACTCCAGGTACAGATGGCCTTACAGGTGAATTTTACCAAACATTTAAAGATTTTTTTAAAAAAGCAATTTGACACAAACTTTCAGAAAATTGAGGAAAACTTCCCCAAACATTTACGAGGTCAGTACTACCCTGAGACCAAAACAATGCATTACAAAAAAGAATATCATAGCACAATGTCCCTCATGAAAATAGATGTAAAATTCCCCAAATTCAACACTATATAAAAGGATGATGCATCGATGACTTTATGGGGCTTATCACAGGCATATGACGTTGGTTTAATTTTTTAAATCAATGTAATTTACCACATTAATAATTAAAAGAGAATTATATCATCTCTAGAGGTACAGATCAAAACATCTGACAAAAGCTGAACCCCCATTCCTAGTAAAACTCTCAGAAAACTAAGAATTGAAGGAAATTCTTCTATCTGGTCAAGGCAGCGTGACAAATACTTACAGAAACATTATATTTAAGTGAGACACTGAACTCAATCCTGCTAGGATGGAGAACAAGGCAAGAACGTCCCCTCTCACCACGTTCATTCAACATTGTCCTGGAGGTTCTAGGCAACGCAATTAAAACAAAAAAATAAATGGGCTGTAAATATTCAAAAGGAAGAAGGAAAATCATCTTTATTCACAAGCAACATGATTGCATACATTGAAAATTCAAAAAAATCCCCCCCAAACGACTAGGGCTAATAAAGTGAGTTTAGCAGGGACACAAGATGCTGGCAGGAGATGCATCTTCCCGGGGCCTCGCGTTTCTGCCTTTCTGGCAAGCAGGGACACTGACTGCTCCGTTCCAGGCTATCTTCAAGGAGATACATAGATGATAAGTGAGTGTCTCCCTCCAGAGCAAAGGGTAGGTTTGTTTACTACTCAGTAAAATAAAGATAACATCTCCCTCCAGACCAAATTTCAGGCAGACCTACTGCTCGTTATAAAAGAATCAGCTTCCTTAAGCTCGGCTTTCCTTTGAAAAGCCTTTTGGAGAGGCAAGAAGGGAAAGAACTTGTATTTGGAAGCAGGAACATTTGGAATTGTACCCCCCCACCCTGCCACTTAGCCACTCCTGTGTAAGGTGGGTGTGACATGTAAGGATCCTACAGGACGCTGCCTCCAACACCTGGCAAGTGCTCCATTCATTAGGGATCACTTTTTGCCTGCCTTTCTGACCTGCCCCAGACAGTATTCTGCACATATAACCTGCCATAGAATTTAAAAGGAAGAAAAAAATCGAAGAATGTGAGCAAAAAATAAAACAGATCTAGAATTTAAAAGAATATGGAATTCATTAGATATGGAATACAAAAAATAAGCCCATCTAAATAGGGAGCCAGAGAGCTCCCTTTATGCCTTTCTAGGCTTTCCGACCTCCACACCCATAAAAACATTTTGCAAAGACACAATGGCTACCAAAGACTAAAAAGATGCAAAGCTTCCAAAAATGACAGATGCTCAGCTTAAGGACGTTGATGACTGGGTCTCACGAGCCCATTCCTGGAGGAAGCCACTGTTCAGTCACAGCATCAAGCCAACACGCCAGCCTTCTGGACCAGGGACTGAGCATGTGGGACTCCCTGAGCACGTGACTGGCGGAGCCGCTGGTTGGGAGGCAGACGGATTACTCCTTCTGTGGATCCTCCAGTTGCTTCACTCTCAGATCCCGCTTCTGCTCCGCGAGCACCTCATAGAACCGATGCATGGCTACAAGGTTCAAATGGGGACAGAGAACCATTTAGTGGGTTTGCAGCTGAGCCCCAGAAATACCCAGTCATGGTGGACCCCCAGAGCCTAACTCGTTCAGAGATGCTGGCCTTCAACCCTCCCTTCGTCAGGACAGATTTCCAAGTCGACCTGTCGCATCCCCCAGGGCTCTTTCTGAGCTTCATTGTCACAGCAGCTGCCTGCCAGACACCTTCATGACTCTTATCCAATCCCATAGAATGTCTTATGGCCTTGGCCTCAAGTTTTCTATCTGCCTCTAGGGACCCTTTGCTCAGTCTATTCTCCGTGTTAGCCCAAAAGATATTTCTGTAACATAAACGTTTTCTCATTCACTGCTATGTTCCCAGCAGGTAGAATGGTGTCCAGCACATGGTGAGATGTGATAGTTGTTGAAAGGAAGGTCATGTTTCTATAACCTTCAGATGGGAATCTGAACTCTGTTGTATAACATACAGGGCCTTCCATGGTCATCCGTCTGTCTGTCTCATCTACTAGACTGCAGGCCCCACAAGGGCAGAGCACCACTCCCTATTAGCCTATAGTCCCCAGTGCCATGCTCAATAGGCACAGAACAGACACTCAAAAGGTGGAATATACCTCAAGCACCTATCAGTTCCTGTTTACAAAGGAACTTAAAGACAGGAAAGTGGAAAGAGATGGCAGAGAATGGCTGGAGCTATAGGAGGCTAAAGGCCAAAGAGGGGACAACTGAAGCATTGGGTTGGGTTATAGAGGAGCTGATGGGGCATCTTTGAAGGATGCCAGGCTTGGGACGTCAGCATCACTCACCAAGTTTTAACGGGAGGGGCTTATCCGAAAAGATGAGGCGGAACCAGCCAGGCTCCTTACACATGTAGGTCTTGCCAGGGGACAGTATCAGCTTGTTGCCCAAGAAACGGTGATGGAGGAGCAGCTCTTCCTCAAAGGTACATGGTTGCAGGTACTAGGGAGGGCAGAGGGGCGGAGCTAAGCCCAAGACCCATCCAGCAGGTCTTGCCCAAGAACACGTGTCTTCACTCCCAGAGCTCACCTCTTTCAAGTTCATCCAGACATAGAGGCCCGAACCACGATTGAGAAAGGGGATCTTCAACGCCTTCAACTTGTTGGTGATGTACCTGTGAGCTGCCTTCAGCCGAGAGTGATTAGTGGGCAGGTACACTTTGTCAATCCATTCTGGAGGGTGGGGGGAGAGAGCTGTCACAGATTCACAGCAGAGATCTGCCAGAGGGTTCCTTGCCAAGCTCCCTCCACCTGGGCTTCTGGCCAGCTGTTTCTATCCAAGATTGACCCTGTGTTATAGTTGAGCTCAGGGCATCCACACCCAGCACACCCACCTCTTACCTATGACTCTGGGGAAGACTGAGCTTCTCACTAGTCTAGTAGGAATATTCTGAGTTTACACCCGTGAGGCAAGGAGCTGGGATATCCCCTGAACACGGTTGATGCTGCTGTTGTCAACTGAGCAAGTAGCAGGTACGCACAGCTCCCCTTACCTCCTGCCCCAGAGCCTCACGTAGTGGACTTTGAGGAACCTAGACACGCATGGGGACGACCTTAGTCCAATTGCTCTCGGCTTTGGCGGCACATTAGCACCACCTGGGAACCTTTTAAAAGTCCTGATGTCCAGATTATACCCCCAGATCATCTAAATCAGAATCTCTGGGGATGGAGCCCACACATCAGTATTGAAACTCCCCAGGTCATGCCCATGTGCACCCGAGGTTGAGAACTAGTGTTCAAGGAGCTGGAAATCTGGTTTCTGCCAAAAGCCACGGGCCTGGCACCATGTAGGGAAGCAGCCAGTCAGATTTCTCATATCCACCCCTTTCCCCATCCAAAGCTGAAAGCAAATTGTTTTCTAGACTAGATTCTCTTATATTAGTTTCTTTCATTCTCTCCCAGTTTTTAATTTAAATCCTCTAGCCTGGCAGCTGCTCTGTTACAGGGAGCTAAAGAAAAGGGGCCTTATCTAAGTTTGGGCAATGGCATTAACGGGAGAAGTGCCCTCGGAAGCCAGCATTCACTGGAGACCCACAGAGGAGTGGGGATCCAGGGGCCGCGGACGTAGCCACACCACCTTGCCCAAATGGCAGCTCTCCTTCGGCCACCTTGGAAGATGATGTTAAGTCATATTCGAGGAATTGAGGCATTTCTTTGTAATCTTTGGCTGAAGCAATCAGGGCGTTGGGAAGGGAAAACTGACCTTCACATAAAGATTGATTTCTGAAGTGCCCACCTTCAAGTCTTAGGATACAGCTGGCCATCCCTGTTCTAGGCAGAACCCCGTGAGCTGCCAGACAGCCAGAAATGAAAGCCCATCCTACGTTTTAGACCAGCACCTTCTCTTCTAGCCACACCCTCCTGCACCATCTGAGTTGCATCCTGCTCTCCAGCAAACTTTCTGTCTTGCCACCATTAAACCTGAGACAGTGAACAGGGCCTCAGTGTGTCGAAGGCATGTCAGAGGCCTAAGAAGACCCAGGAATTCCCACTGGCCAAGAGATCTGGTCAAGAGGCCAGCCCCAGGGATGGGGCTCAGTACCTCTGTCCTGGAGCAGCCGACACAGCTTGTACTGGGTGATCCCAGAGATGCCATTGAGGAAGCCAAAAGAGCTCACAGCGGAGGCCACCTCCTTGTTGTGGGTGTACAGAGCACCAAAGCGGAAGCCAGAGATGCCAAAATCCTAGAGGAAGAGAATAGCTGGTGTCTGCCTTCTGCTCCTGGCTCCCCTCCCCTCCCTACCCAAGGACAGGCAGCTGGGGCTCACCTTACTGGTGCCCCAGATCATGTGGGTTCTGTTGGGGTCAGGCAAACTGGGGAGCAGACAGAACAATCAAGATTACAGAGAAACATTTGAAGGGTGAAGACTTGGGGTCTATGAGGGGAAAAGAGGAATGTGGACTTGATGTCCTTCCCAGACAAAGGGCCTGTGGGGCCCAAAGTTCAAGAAACAGTTGTCCCAGTTAAGCCAGGAAGTCAACAAAAGGTATCCTCAGGGGACTAGAGGGGACAGCTCCAAAGTGCCCACTAAATGAAGTCCCGGACCCTCAGCCTGGCTCAGGGCCTTCTTATAGCTGGTCCAAAGCCACCTTCTTAGCAGCTGGCTCTTCACGCAGTGGGCCACCCATGGTTTCTAAAATGAGCTCACCTACTCATTACTCCCCTGCCTTTGGTGAGGCAGTCCCTTCTGCCAAGCATGCGCTTGCTCTGTTTGGCTGCTGGGATCCTATCCTAGGGCCAAATACCCTTAAGAAAGTTCCACCCTATTTCTGTCCTTTCCCTGTGCACTGCTTATCAAGACGTTCCCATCCCAACCTTTGGAAGGGCTTTGTCTTGACTTTGACAGTGCACGTTGTACGCTGCCCTCAAGTCATCTTGTGTACAAATGGCTCTTAGAGAAGACACTTGGGAGGAAAGATGATGCTTTGCTCGTTTTCACACTCCCAGTGGCACTTAGCTGAGGTCCTAGCATGTAGCCAATTAGGTTTATGGCACATGAGCTCACCCTGCAAAAGCAGAAACCTCGTGGTTCTCATTCCCAACTCCAGCTGAGACCAACTCACCTTTCCATGCTCAGAACACTGCGGAAGGTGACGGAGTCATCAAACACAGACAGCATGTACAGCTCATCTATGATCACATGTAGGTTGTACCTGCAGGTTGGACGGAAGAGCGAGGACAATATCCGGTTCTCTCTGATCTTAACTCACTTTCTTTAGGCTCTTCTCTAGATACAGATCAGAGACGCCTGCTACCTCAGCAGCCCATCCAACCCTTCCAAGGGCCATGATAAGGCAAAAGGGGCAGCACACCAGAAGGGACCTTTCGACCTGGTGTGGGGGTACTAGGAAGGAACAGGACCCCAAAGATCCACATGAGAACATCCTACCTAACCCTCAACCATCAAGCAGAGACCAATGAGAAGGGGCTTGGGGGTCCAACGGAGTTTTGGTCTATTATGCTCAGGAGCTCTCACCCAAGGTCTGAATTGAAGTGCTTATCACATCATCCCATTTATTCTCCCAGCAGCCCTCTGGAGCAGGAGTGTTACCTCCATTTCACAGATGAGGAAACTAAGTCTGAGACATAAAATTAATCCCCTGAATTAGCAAGTAGGATGTGACTCTCATCCTGTCGAATTCCAGCGTTCTTCCTCTCGTCTCCGTGCTCTGCCGTTCATTGGTCTGGATTAGTTATGAAGTTTGAATAAATGTGTTTCTTCTAGAAAGTGGAAGATTATCTACCCTAACGATTCGGGCTATTTCAAGACTCCAGAGATAACTGATGATAACGTGTTCTTAGGAATGTGACATGAAAACTCTCTGGGGACACGTCTGCAACCCACAAGGCCTGAGAGTCTGTCTCCCTCGACACCTCAGGCCAAGCAGTTTGAGAAATGGATGCTGGGAGAAGTGGAAAAGCAACAAAACCATATCATGATTGTTATGTAGGCGTCTGTAGCTGGGCAAGGGCTAGGTAGGAAATGGCAAAGGGTTGGGTTGAAGTGGCAAGCATGTGGGTGCATTTTCCTTCATTTCAATTTCACTTCATTGTACACAACTTTCAAAGTATACTCTGCAGCAAGAATATTTAGGGTGAATTATTTCTGGGTAAGGGGTAAATGACTTCTTGACCAGGAGTGACGGGAACCGTTTTTAGGGACTTTGTGTAGTCTCAAGCGGTGGACTCATACCTCTTGGCAAATTCCAGGTATTCCTCCAGTGAGTCTCTAGAGTAGACATCTCCCAGGGGATTCTGAGGATTGATTAGCAAAAGGCCTCTGACCTTTTTCCCCTAAAAAACCCAAACATAACCGAGTAAACACAAGTCCTTCCCATCTACATCAAGTCCAGCCAAGGATCAGGTCAGGACGCCCAACATAGGTCACCCGATAAGGCCTAGGTAGGCTCTCGAAGCATCAACCACCACACTGCCCATAGAGGGGGAGGAGGTGGGGGCGCCATAGACAGGGCTCAGGGCTCCTAGGGGACAGGCCCCTGGGCTCGCTCACTGCCTCTTCTGAAGGATCCCACACCATCTTGGGGAGCAGGTTGTACCAGAGTCTCAGTACTCAGCTCCTGTCAGGGGCAGCAGCGCCCATCAGGACACATGGTACCCTCCTTACCTTAAGCGTGGCCTCAAGCAGGGCCTGCTCCAACTTGTCCACAGTGAGCTGGAATGGACGGGCGCTCCCATCAGTGATCTGGAAGACCAACACTGCCTGAGAGCTGCCCATCCGAAAGCTTCTAAGCCCTGACTCCCCGTTCCCATAACCCCCGAGCAAGCCTTCACCTCCATACCCAGAGCGCCAGGCCCACGTGCCCTCTTCGACCTGATTTCTCCATCCTTCCCCTACCATCACTTACACGGGAAGAAAGCAAAGCCCCCTACACCTTCCAGATGCCCCTAGAACATTCCATTGCCTAGGTGGGCTGAGCAGGGGAAAGGGCCCCATTCTGACCTCACTGTCCAGGTGGACAGGCATCAGCTCAACTTTCGAATACAGGTACGAACCCATGACGAGGCCACCAAAGAAGGGGGTGGGGGTCAGCAAGGCCTCTGGAAGCACAGGGAGACAAAGCTGTCCGTCCAGGGTCTCTCAGCTAGAAGCTGCCAGGCTCTCCAGACCAGCAGCAACACCACAGATGGCGAAGCTTAGGTTGACAGTCCCTCCTACTTGGAGATTAAGTAGGGGCTCTTAATCTTGCTTTGACTTAAACCTTAAACTTGCTTTCCGGCTCAGGCTCTCTGGAAGTTATCCATTCTTAGAAACGTTATTTGGGGAAAACACTCAAGTTTCCTCTTTGGGAGTACACCAGAGAGGGAGGAAAGGAAAAGATAATGTTGTGAATGGCTCGGGATCCAGGGCGCAAATCAAGCCAGGCTTGCTAGCAGCTGGAGCACTGGTCGTTCAGCGAGTCTTGTCTGCTCCAGGCCAAGCCCTGGAGGCTAAGGTCCATGCACAGGGCGCCTCTGGTCTCTCTGTGTGGCTTGGGTTCCCTGGACTGGGTGATCTAGCTTCTGCCCTTCCCATCCATTTGGCCTCATCGATGAGCTAACCAAGGAGCCCCTCCTTTGAATGAAACTGGCCATCCTGGTAACTTCCTCCCACACAGCCAGAGCTCATGAAGACCTGAGACTCTCGTTTGGGCATTGTTAAGAGGGAGGTTGAGGACAGATCTCTCCCCCTTATTTGATCTAGAACTAATTAGCCTTTCTTTTTTTGAGGAGGAGGAGGAAAGAGAAAATCTATATAGTCTAAGCCAATTGACCAGGACTTTCTGTACTGGAGTTGAGACCAAAAGCACAGCTAATAATAAGTTGGCTCCTATTGTCACCATTCCTGAGGCATACCTCCTTGAGGACCGTCACTTGTTCCTTCCATATTAAATGAGGACCCAAATCCCTTGCTCCTACAGAAATAGTAGGAAGAAGTTCTAATCAGGGTAGAGGTCCCAGCGCTTGCGAGGAAGGGCCTTGAGTCAAGATGCTCTTCTTCCCGAAGGCCTAGTGCCCTCGTGCTGCTATTCCCCTGAGGGAAAGCAGCGCGCATTGACTTACCACCTGGATCACACAGAACCGTGGCCAGCGCGGAGAAGACAGAGCAGCAGCCACTTAGAACAACCACCTGAAGAAGTCATGCAGAAATAAACAAACCGGTCCCCAGGTAAGAAGGGGTGACCCTCATCTCCCTCCCCCTGGGAGGGGCAGGCCCCAGGAACCGCCTCAGCTGGGAGCCAGTGGCCCTCACTCTCCCCTGGCCATGAGGGTCTCTGCTGATTCCCCCTGTACCTTCTAGAAAATGCAGAGTCCCCAGCCATCCAGCCCTTGCCCAGGGGGGCAGCAAGGCTGGGAAACTGACTCACGTTTTCCGGATCAAGGCGGGCAGGTGACTTGCAATAGTAGGTCAAGAAGCGGGCCACTTCTTCCCGCAGGCTGTGGACAGACCCAGAGGGAGCTCGTGGTTCCAAGGCCCAGGGCCCCTTCTCGTTCAGGGTTAGACTTCAGTCTTTTCCAAAGGGCAAAGTGTCCAACCTTATTTTACGGGGCTGCCGACCGAGGCTGTCAACTCCCCAGGTGACACAGACAGCACGTGTGAGAGTTTGGACAAGAACTCAGGCCTTTTGGGTAACAGGGCAGGGCTATTTCTACTACGCCAGGCTGCCTCCTGACGATGTTTTGCTCTAGGCATTTTCTAGAAGTCATTACCCAAAGAGACAGACAGGCGGCCAATGAAGAATCTGGCGCTAGGAGTGCTTCCCCGGATGAGGACAGGTGCCTATGGACCAGGAGACCACAGATCTGGAAATTACTTACAATGGTTGCCCTCTCTGGTCAGAATATTGCAGCAGGGCATCCTCAAGGTGGTTCATGTCACTCCGACTCAACTGTTGACAAATAGAGCATGAGGACAGCCAGACCAGAGGAGCCCAACATGCCTCATCCTACTTCTAGGATGCATACGGGTGTTTGCCCTGCAACACGGCCTCCGAGAAGGGCAGTGGGGCTACATGCTGTATGCTCCTCGGGGGTGGAGGCCCCAGTCTTCTTGGCACACGTTACACAAATACATAACTCACTCTGAAGTGTTTGAAAACCTACACTTGGGCCAGAGGCTCCCTTGGCAGCCTACCCACCATAGCCCCATCTAGAGAATAGCTCTGAACACAGTCAGCAAGGCCAGGAGGTTAGATGTGTTGTTCTAGAAGCTTTTTCCCCGCTCCCTTCCCCCAAACCCCTAAGTCCCATTGGTGCAGCTACCACATGCTGAGGAACCTTCTAGCGGGACCGGGCCGGAAGGTGGGGCCCAGCACAGCCCAGAACTTGGCTTACCCTTTCGGTCATCAGATCAGTGCACAGCTTGTTCTCACTGACACCGAGGTTGATGAAGCCCTGGAGATGGAAGGAACCTGAGGTCAGTCCTCTTGCCCTGCCCGATACGGACCCCTTTAAACGTGCCAATAAGGACTCATCCTGTGAAACAGAGATCTCTCAGCCCCGTGAGGCAATTCCATCCACATTTGGGCAGAACTCCACCTGCCTGACCCAAGAGCCTGGATCCTTAAGCCGCAGGCCCTGCCTCGCACCCATCTCTACTATTTCTGCTTCCTTGTAAGGGCCCTTCAAGTCCATGGAGGAGGAAGGGTCCCTCCGAGTCCGGTGGAGGTATCTGACTGACCGGGCCCCGAGAAAAGCAGACGGCCACCGAGCCCACGTCACTTAGCTGGAAACAGAAGGGAAGCTGTGAGTCATGCTGTCCTCTATCCTCCGGCTGGAGAGCTGTTGTGAACCTCCCTTGCTGGAAGCTTTTTGTTGGTTCCCTATCACCCTTAGGATAACATCCTGATACCTCGCAACGGACTACCCCCATCTACACCTCTTGTTACAGCGCTCGTTGTCCCTACTCTAGCCACACGGGCCTCCTTTCCCAATAACTCTAAGCCCTTCCCGTCTCAGAGCTTTCACACATGCTGTTCCTCCATTCTGGAGGACCCCCCTCCCACCATCACCGTATGGCTGGCTGATCCAGCCTTTAAGACACCTTCCCAGGCCACCCAGTGCAGGCATCCCCTTAGTGCTCTTGGGGACATTATTAATGTTCATTTCCCAGTGGCGGACTACATTCATCGCTAGACGGAGTTCCATGAGGGCAGGCTGACTTACCACTGTGACCACAGTGACTCCTAGTGGGTAAGAGCTGGGGTTTAGATAAAGCATGCTGGGTGGGGAGGTGGACCCAGACCCAGCTCTTTAACTTTCTTGGGCATGTCACCTTGTTTCTGGGCCCATTTCCTTATCTATAAGAAGACGATAGCACCTACTTCACGGAGCTGGGAAGAGTAAGTGCAAGAACACAGTGCTTGGCACAGGACTCAGTAAATCCTGGCCACTGGGGCCCTCAAGTATGTCCCCCCCCAATCCTCACCATGGTGTTCTTGTCCTCATGGTATTTGTCTCCTTGGTAGGTCTTGAAGTCCTGGAATTTGGAGCGCTCGAAGGCAGAGATGTCAATCCCACGGTTGGACAGGTCATGGCTGACAAATGCAACTTCCAGATGACTCAGTTGGTGAACTAGCTGGTCAAGCTGCCTGGACAGCTGTGCCTGCTGCCCGCCTCCAGCATCATCCCTAGGGCCCAGGGTAGGGCGAGGCGCTTGGAGCCCCAGGCCCCACATGGCCCCAGACTGGAGGAGGTTGACCACCCGGCGCAGGAAGGCTTCCTGCTCGCCGGTGGCCTGATTGTGCCTCTGCTCCTCCAGCGGCAGGTCCAGCTGTGGGGGCCTGGTCGTCAGCTGTGTGATACAATCGTCTACGGTCTGCCGCAGGTGCAGCAGCGTCTCCATCAGCTGGGTGTGGCTGCTCTGGTTTCCGATGACCTGGTCCCTCAGCTGGTCACAGGGCAGGACGTCTGATTGGTGACTCATACCCTGGGCCTTTGTTTTGGCCTCGACAGGCTGGCTGGAACCTGCAGAGAAAGAGGGAGACCATGCATTGCAACAAAAAGGCTGACCCCTCCTGACCCTGAGGTCCGGGCCTCATCTCAGGCTGGTCACTGCCTCCCCCAACCTCCACACCTTTGTTATGGGCCCAAATTCGTTCAGGACAAGTTACCTACTCGTTCAAGGGCGATGCCTAAGGGACCCCAAGCCCAGACACTGGAGCACTGTCGTTAAATGACATTAAAATGAGTTCTCAGGAAGAGCCTTAGGGCCCACTTTGAGAAAAAGGGGGAACTGGACAGGCAGGCTCTGGTTCTCCAGCCCCTGCTTCCACAGAGCAATCCCTGCTTTAGATGGCTCTAAGAAGGAAAAGGGATCAGCTGCGTAAAAAATAAAGAAGCCTGAGTAACTCATTCTGCTGGAATAGGGATTAGTAAACGGCTGCCCGGGGCCAAATCCAGCCTGTCGCCTCTTTTTGTAAATAAAGTTTTATTGGAACACGGTCATGTTTGTTTGTGTGTTATCTGTGGCTGCATTTGTACTATGAGAGCGGAGTTGAATCACTGAGACAGAGACCGTATGACCCAGAAGGCCTGAAATGTTCACTAGCTGGTCCTTTACAGAAACAGGCTGCCAGGCCCTGTTCTAAAACATCAGTCCTTCTTTCACCCCATTTTTCCCGAGTTGGCCGCGCCAGATGTTCAAATCTCAGTCCTTCCGTCCTCCTTCCTTGCATCGCTTCCTGCAAACGCTTTCAACCTGCTCTCTGTGACAGCGGCCTTAGACTTCCATCACTAGGAACCACGGGCTAGACGCGTGGTGCTTGAACTTTATTGTCACCAGAAACACTGGGAGGGCTTGTTCGGCCAGATGGCTGGGCCTCACCGCCAGACTTCGATTCAGTAGGTCTGGGGTGGGGCCTGAGAATTTTCAGTTCTAACAAGTTCCCAGGACTACACTTTGAGAACCTCTGACTATTCAGACCAACCTTCCATCTGAAAAGAAGTCGAAATGCTGCATAAGAGCTAAGAGACACCTCTTTAAAGCCTCAAAAACAAAAAAGAATCAAACAAAAATCAGGTAGCAAGTAGCCACAAGGTAAGAAAACCTGAGGCCAACAACTGCCTCTAATTCTCTGTAAGACAATCCTCACACCCCCAGACACTGGCCCTCTTTTCCTAAAAATCTAGATTTATACGTCTTCCACCAAACACCATGTTCTAAGTCACACGCCTCCCTTACTTCTTTCACAGTCCTGTGGCACCACCATTTCAACGTGCTGGACACTCTGCCCAACCCTTCAAACCATGCTCAGTTCGCTTTTGACGTTCTCACAGCAACCTATGCTTCTCCTCCGGTCACACTGAATATTGTTACTTGTTCCGTATCCGCCCGGGTCAGCCTTCATCATTCCATCCTTAGCACAGCACCTGGCATATAGGAATCAGCAGGAGGGACACAATCCTGAGGATATTGCCAAGACAGTGAAGAGATCAGCCATGACTGAGAACTGGCCGTGGAAGATGGAGCAATGGCGACATCAAGCCCTCCGGCCTTCCTGCTCCTTGACACGTGCCAGCCCCCCTGGTGTCTCATACTCTGACCTAATTCAGATTCTTCCTTCTCGGTATGGTGAGTATGATAAGGATGGTAGAGCCTTCTTTATGTGCATAGGAAGGAAGGTGTTTGGGGATCGAGATCTCTAAGTACAAGTCGCGAAATTGAAAGCTCAGGTAAGAGGAGCCTTGAGAAGCCTGGATTCTATTCTGTAGTTGCTACTGACCAGTTGTAGGATGTGGCAAGAATTATCTCCCGCCTGGGTATCAGTTTTTCCATACGTAAGATGAGAAGCTACCTCAACTCAAGGTGATAAAACTGAAGCTCGAGGATGACAAGTAACTTCTGGGGTCCCACAGATTTAAACCGAAGACCTCCCATGTTAGCCCAGAAGCAGGAAGAAGACGGAACTAGCAGAAACCCAGCCCCGGTGTGGACGGCAGCCTGGCTTCGCATTGCGTAACGCCTGGGAAGTCTCAAGTTCTGACGATGGATTAACTTCCTCCAACGATACTGCCATCCTGTATTGTTGGTGACTCAACGTCCCTGGGCAGAAGCAAACAAATACTCTGCAAGGGGTTACCTTAGACTTTGGATTTCTCAAAGGATTATTTTCCAGATACAGTGTTCCAGCACACAGAAAATCCAGACACATGAATAAAGAGCGCGAGCTGAAACCAGCACAGAGAACACAAAGACCAACTGGACTCCAGCTACGAGGAGTAGATCGTAGCCGCCCTTTACAGATGAGAAAACCAGACTCAAAGGAAGGAGGTGAACGCGTGAGCGCACAAGTGGGATGGAAAAGGAGCTTTAAAACCAGTCTGCTCACCCCAGGCCCCGCCACCCTCTTAACCATCCCTCCGTGAGGCCTCTTCCTGGAAGGGTGCACATGCCCTCAAAGCTTGGCATTCTCTTTTGGGGATCCATAAATCCATCAGTGGTCCCACCCCCCTGGGAGTCTAGGAGCCCAGGTGAAGTCTAAGTGTTTGGTCCAAAGCCCCCTCCTCACTCCACATCTCTCAGCTCCCCCGACCCTGCCACCCGCACATACCTGTGTCTCTCTTTCCACTCATCCTTTCTCCAGTCTAAGATCCTATGCCGGATGAAATTGTCCTTGACCATCAGGGCTCAGAGACCTCTCCAGAACCCTTCTCTCCTCACTAGCTTGCTTACTGCTTGGAGCCTGTAGGCTCCGCTTTTAAGCACAAAGTGCTTTCAAGGGCAATAACAAGATCCACCTTTTCCTGTCCCAGGGCATCTCCCCCGGGAGTTCCTTATTCCCTAAAATGGCCTTTCTTTGCACCATGACAGAGAAAGGCTCAGCAACACCCACACCTGGGAGAGCCACGCATTGGAGCTGTGGTCCTCAAACTTGAAGGACATTGGCATCACCCGGAGAGCTAATAAAGAGCAAGAGGCTCTCGGAAGCAGGCGAGGACCTGGGCCTGCGTGCTTGCTCAACGTCTGAGAACCACTGGAGCGAGCGACTCCCAATTAAAGCCCTCATGAGCCCCTGACTTTCCCCATTTCTGGGGAGACCACGATTGACAGCAGGTTGAAGTGTGTTAACGACAACTTGACAAGGAAGCCCTGGAGCAATGGCCAGGAGGACTGGTCCCAATGCCCCTAGCTCTACTTGTGTGTCCTTGGCAAACCCACCCAGCCTTTCTGGTCTTCAGTCAGTTTCTCCTTGTTCCAGGCGGAGGTCATGAAAGCTGCTTCTTGGAGGGCAGTGTGAAGGCTCAGTGGGAGGATGGACGCCCAGATGGGGCAGCAGGTAGAATTGCACGTGACTGCGCGTTCGAGCTTGTCAGTTTCACGCTGGGCCCCTCCTGTCCTGCCTTCCCTGGGGGTCAACAAACAGGAGCAAGGCCAGAGGCAGCCTGTGGTCCAAGAATAAATACCTGTCTTGTGACTGTTCTCCAACTTTAGTTTGCTTAAAATACGCATGCCTGGGCTCCACTCAGGGATGCTGACCCAGTTGGTCTATAATTGCGCCCAGGAGTCCGTATTTTACAGCATAATGGCAGGTGATCCTGGACTAGTCATGGAGAGACGTTGCCCCCGTGGACCCCACAGGGAGGGGAACCATGAGCTGTGGGCGGGCACTTCACCCCAGAGGGCTAGGACCTCACATACGCCCCAGCCTGCACTGCATGGACAGCCCATCTCTTCTGTCATTTATTTGTTCATTCCCCATTCGTTAAAAAACCTAAAAACCATTCACCAGAGATATACTGATGGCCAATAGGCACATGAAAAGATGCTCATCATCGCTGATCATCAGGGAAATGCAAATCAAAACTACACTAAGATATCACCTCACACCCGTTAGAATGACAAAAATATCTAAAACTAACAGCAACAAATGTTGAAGAGGTTGCGGAGAAAAAGGAACCCTCATACACTGCTGGTGGGAATGCAAACTGGTGCAGCCACTATGGAAAACAGTATGGAGATTCCTCAAAAAACTAAAAATAGAACTACCATACGATCCAGCCATCCCACTACTGGGTATTTATCCAAAGAGCCTGAAGTCAGCAATCCCAAAAGTCCTGTGCACCCCAATGTTTATTGCAGCACTGTTTACAATAGCCAAGACGTGGAAGCAACCTAAGTGTCCAGCAACAGACGAATGGATAAAGAAGATGTGGTACGTATATACAATGGAATACTACTCAGCTGCAAAACAGAACAAAATCATTCCATTTGCAATAACATGGATGGACCTTGAGAGAATTATGTTAAGTGAAATAAGCCAGCGAGAGAAAGATAATCTGTGTATGACTCCACTCATACGAGGAATTTAAAATTAGGGACTAAGAACAGTTTAGTGGATACCAGGGGAAAGGTGGGGTGGGGGGTGGGCACAAAGGGTGAAGTGGTGCACCTACAACACGAATGACAAACATTAACGTACAGCTGAAATTTCACAAGATTGTAACCTATCAATAACTCAATTAAAAAAATAAAAATAAAAAATAAAAAACCATTCACCAGGTGCCTCTGATGTACCAAGCACTGTGTTAGACCTGGGACTATCAAAATGAAGGAAGAGCTCCCTCACTTCAATGAGCCCCAGGACACACTTTCCAACGGAGAAGTCTGATCACATCTTTCATTTGCTCAAGATCCTTTAATCCCCTTGACCTTATGGGGTTGTAAACTCAAATACCTCCAGGGACACGACGGTAGCAAACATACAAAGCTGGCTTAGGGACTGGGGAGGCTGTCGGCTAACTGAGCCTGCATGCCCTCCTACATGCATTCAGGCAAAAAAAATAACAGTAAGCACTGTTGGGCAAAATGGTTTTACCAGTTAATTTCAGCCCTCCAGCCATCAATTTGCAAAGTCTGAATCCACACTCCTTTATGCGGCATATCAGACCTCTAGAATAATCCATCACAGCCTACCTCCCTGATCTCATTCTTTGCATACCTTTCCCACCCTCTCCCCTCCAACAAG